TTGGGATCCTACTGTGCATGACTTCCAAGACATGATATACGGAGATACGCAACTGGAATACTCATAGGGCCGCGGTTGCCGGGAAGCATTGGTCTAAATTGCTACACTTAAAAAGTACTTTCGATTTACAGGGCGGGTGTTCAGGGGGAGTAAAAGTAGTGGCAAGCAAGAAATCATGCGAGCGGGCTTGAATCTCCACCCTCCGATTCGCAGGAGGGACCCCGCTGGTCTCTTGCGCGGGATCGCCCTCCCTCAGGCAAGAGTGCCTCGGATTCTGAAACAACCGCATCATGTCGTATACGGGTGATGCTGGGAGATAATGGGTGGGCGCGGCAGGGAGGGGAAAGGGAACGGAGGGCATAAAGGAATACATGATTGGGCAAATATTTTTAACTTGATTCTCAACGCGTGCGAGCGCTTGATGATCTTCGGCCGGGTCGCATGACGTGCGCTAATCTTCCAAGGACTATTGCCGCCTTCCAAGGGCTGAGCGTCGTCGGCAGCTGATGAGAATCTTTCTCCCAGCATCCTTTGCGCTGAGCGGTTCCTGACTTGCTCAGTCCTGGCCTCCAGTCTCCCATGGTACAATCTATCCGCTAAACCGGAACCGGGTCGCCTCCAGCCGGCCCAGCCCTTCTCTAGGTGCCACGTTCCGTCGCCGGTATGAGTTGGTGAAGTCTATGCGTGCTTGTCAGCCAATGTAAAGCTTGCGAGAAAATGCTAGTTTCACCATACCTTGAAGAAGGACCCGGATCTTCCGCACCTCACCCGAGTGGACCTTGTCGAAGATGCCCTTCAGCAACCTCTCCGCCTCACCCGGCTTCATGGTGCCGGCGGGAAGCATCTGCAGCGTGGCCTGAAGCCACGTTCCTGCCTGTTCGGGCATAAGTTCGAACAGCATCATCATCACGCTGGATGCGTCGGGGAAGCACTCTCCCGGGAAAGAGAACATCATGCCCGTCAGGATATGCTGCGTAAGTAGCTGGCCTTGCGACGCAATCAGCTGCTTGACGGCCTCGCGGATTTCGGGCGGGTTGGTGTAGGAGCTCCCATCTGAAGTGGTGAATTCGGATACCGTCGGCTTATCGAAAGCGAAGCTAAAGAGGTCGTGGTAATAATGCAGGGTGGCCATGAGTGGGTCAATCTGCTGGAGGGTGAGAGCGCTGAGTGCGGCGGAGAAGATCGGCACGGACAGCGACGAAGTGACACACTCCTTGGGGTAATACCGGACGGCATCGGAAGACAAACGATAGAAGTCCTCGATAACTGGTTGTACCTGATTAGCTTGAGGCGCAACGAGCAGCCAATTTCCAGCTGGGGGAGCACCTACCATCTGGGAGATTCTCGGGGGGCAGATCATTCAAGGTCCGCAGGAAAGCGACCGCTTGCTGCTCGTAAAACTGGAAGACAGCATGGCTGGTGGAGGGATCGACGAATTCAGCACCCTCGGAGAACTCGCGCACGACAGCGTCAGTGGCCCACAGGAAGCATCCTTCTCGTGATGCCTCGAATCCGCTTGCAAGACTCTGCGCTAGCGTGGGTAGGAGCGGAGTCATAGCCGTGCGGTAGGAAATAATCATGTTTCTCCAGCAACGGCAGACGCGCTCCAAAATCGGCGTGGACGAAGTAAAGTTCATCACGATTGTCGTCATGATTGGCAAGATTTCGCCGCAATACTTGACTGCGGGGTTCTCTTCCCGGGGCGAGACGTATGGGTTCACGACCAGGATGAAGATCGTAATCAACTGAAGGTGATCTACCATGCAGTTAGTATGCAGAGTGCCTTTTAATTTTGAAGTATACCTACCAGCAACAGCCCGCTGGCCCTCTTCATCCTTAGCGTTGTTCGCTAAGTTCATGATGCGTGCCATAATGGGGTCACAGAACAACTTCATCGTCTCGTAGATCTTCTCCAGTGGCTGCACTGCAACCACAGCCGCGACACCCTCGGTTATCTCTTCCTGACTGGCCGGTTTCAGCTTGTCGAGGACCGACTCGTAAAACGAGTGTAGTTGGGCAATGTGACCTCCAAGCAACTTCTGGCAGTCCGTGCCCAAGAACTTGAAGGCCAAGGCTGCAGCCTGAACCACCTCCGGAGAGCTGTGCTGGAAGCCGGAAATGACATAGTTTAGTTGCGCCTCCAATGTCTCGGGATGCTGTGCAGTCCACTCGGTGTAACGCGCTAACGCCATGATAGCCTGGAACCGCACTTTTTCTTGGTTCGGAATCTGCACGATGAGGGGAATGACCTGTGTCAGGACAACATTCTCCTCAGGATCGACCATACGGCCCATGGCGCGCAAACTAAACAGGGGCGCTTCAAGCTCTTGCCAGTTGGGAACATGGTCGTCGCTGGACTGGGAGGCATATTTGGAGACCCATTGTTGGATCAGCTGATAAGCCTTGGTCAAGCACTCATTGACCCCAATGACCGCACAGCAATCCTTGAGCACATCTCCCATAGCGTGCCGGAAATGCCGGAATTTCTCTTCCTGCTCCCGATCGCCACCGAAAAGGTCCGTCTCACCCTCCTCCGGCCGCGGGTACTCGAGGTGCTTGACCATAATGTCCACGAGGCTAGAGAAGATATCACTAAAGCCAGTCCGTGCATCCGCATATCGCTCCAAAGTAACATATTGCTTCAACTCGTACCAGAAGACGAAAGTAAGGGAAATCGCGTCCCGCTCCCAGTCGCGAGCGCAACATTCTAGGACCGCTTCGACCAGCCCGCGGAAGTCAGTCGGCAGGCGTGCCATCAGAACCACCCAGGCCTCGCCAGCTTCAGCAAACAGCCTCGTGATACCCCTGTAAGCATCTGTGTCTTCCGCTTCGGCGAATTCGGCAATCTTCGGGCGCAGGGACATTAATCGCGGATACAGGGCCTGGATGATGGGCAGTGAATCATCGACCTCCCGAGTGTCTCTATACAAGGTGCACATGCTATCGACCGCAGACTCGAATGATCGGTCGTCATCAAGAGCCTTGAGAATCACATCCATTAAGGGTGAGTCAACAATCTTCGACGCCGGGATCTCGCGCATCCATGAGGTGATACAGTCGAGGAGACGGGGATTAGTAGACGCAGTAGCTAAACAAGAAATATAATCAGCATATCAACATATTATGAAGCTGACTCGACGGCTGGGCACGTACGGGATGATTGAGCATATTGAATCAGAAGGTGCATGACCTGTTCGGCGTTGTCTTCCAACAGTTCTTTCGTCCTGGAATCAAGGTCCTCTTCCTAAGTCAAGCCAGCAGGTTAGAGTCTCGTTTGTCGCGGTATAAAAGGTCGTCGCCTATCGCGTAGGAACGGATTGTAAACAGGTGAGGTGTTGATGCCGCCGAACATACACTGAGATTGATTTTACGACCCTCGGTCACTTCTTCCGGGAGAATCTTGAGAAACTCCAACACACAATCCCCCGCGCTGCTACCCAGAGCCGCGCCAACTGTGGGTAGGACGTCCTTCCAGTCCAGCATTTGGATGGCCAGGCTCGCCAGACAGACGCAAAGCTGTGTCTGGATCGGCCGAGGGCCTGCAGCATAGGCCACAAGCAAGTTCATAACGGAGTCTCGGAGGGCGAGTATCGATTCCGCGGGTAGCTGGTCAAGGTCGAAGATAATCTGGGACGGTCAGTACGGGATGCCAGTACCGCGTCATGTAGGTGATGGGATCGCTTCACCTTTCCTTTCAACGTGGTCGCTGCGAACAACTTGGCCTCGACAGGGACATCGGGGGATTGTAGCATTTCGTGGGTAATAGTCCATGCTTCAACCTAGATAGAAGCCAAATCATGATTAGCATGCAATGTCATGGGCGGCGTGGAACAATCGGCCCTGGGGAGGAAGAATGAGGGGTAGGGATGAACGGACTGATTTCTGGAACTTCTCCAGGAATTCATGGGCGTGTTCTTTCTCCGATCGCGAGACATTTCCTGACATAGTCGTGACTGCCGCGAGGACAGCACCAAAGGACTGCCCTGCGGTTCCCTCCTTGCTGGCCATCTTGGACGAGGAGTGGGATGTTTTGGGATTGTTCGAGTTGGGAATGGGAGAAGAGGGGTTCAGCCAGGCCGGGAGGCTCAACACCTATGCAGTGCGATCATGAACAGTCATTAAACAAACATTAAAGAACAAGCCACCTCGATGGAATCAGCGCTAAAACCTTCAGCACAGTGGCGGAGAGAGGGATCGGGGGGTAAGTGACTGGTTAGTGGAGGTGGGATGTGGTGACGATCGACCCAAAGGGAAAAGTTGGTGAGCCGCAATCGTCCCCGAGGCGGCAAGAACGATGGAAGCTTGCTTCACCACCTTCCCGATCTTTCTCGACCTTCTCTCCCAGCACCACCCGCCTAACAACCACCACCACGCGTCGTTCTCTCGATCAACCGAACGGCATTTCCGTCTGTTGTCTCCTGTCGCTGCCTTCGCCTCTTGATACCCTACACATTCCTTCCATCCACCCATCACAATGACCGGTCGTGGAGGCGGTGGAGCCGCTCGCAAGACCCTGCTTGCGCCGATTCATTTCATCTTCAAGCTTCTTCAGCAACGGTCTACAGTCTCTATCTGGCTTTACGAGCAGCTTGCTTTCCGCATAGAGGGAAAGATCAGGGTAAATAGATTCTGGCGACATGTCTGCGTGGGATTTGACTAATCGACTGGTGTAGGGTTTTGACGAGTTCATGAACCTTGTCATTGACGATGCAGTGGAGGTTCGCATGGCTACAAAGTCCGAGGAAGAGAAGCGGAGACCTCTAGGTATGCGGCAGTTTAGCTTTTGTGTTCTCCCCTTTGGTGCTGCAATGCTGATAACAATCTTGAACAACCTAGGCCAAATACTGCTCAAGGGCGACAACGTGTCTCTTATTCAGGCCGTGCAGTGAATTTAACGGGGGCGTTTAAGGATTTCGGAAGCCAGGAAAGGGAAAATTAATCATTCATCTCCGACTTCGTGCCGTGATACGATATCGTTTGCATTTTCTAAACACTTTTTTACGGGTTCTCGCTGGAGTACAATTATCTGCACATTATTGTCGCATTAGATGAAAACATGGACATGAAAGGGCTCGCTTCTTTTCTGGATATCCTATCAGCGTTGGCGCACGAGGCACCGGTCATCGCCGACCATGAGGACGTCTACTAGCCAGTCGTGATCCGCAACCGGGATCTTTTCGGTCGGAGCCAGCACTTGTTCTTTGAGAGCCAGCGCGACTATACGAGGGGTTAGTGACGGAATATGCTCGGGTTGACTGCTGTCATCTGGAACAACTATGCCTTACCTAGTAGAGGCAGCTTCGGTGCCGTTGTTGTGCTCTCGGGACCTTTGGAGTACCTTGTCAGGAAATGATCATAGTAACCTTTGCCATGGCCTAATCTTCTGAATCCCTCATCAAACGCCATTCCTGGCATGACAATCAAATCCAACCCGTAAGGTCCCTGTGTAGAATCTTCAGGCTGGGGTGAGACTCCCTTGCCCCCGAAGCAGTTCGTCTTGTTAAGCACACTTGCTCGCGAAAGCGATGGAATTCCCCACTTGTCCGGCTCGAGCGATCTGAACTCATCCATCGACTCAAGCAGCAACATATCCATGACTGATGTCTTTGGCTGTGACGACAACTCGAGATTGTGTATGTAAGGCACGAAGACTTCTTTGCCATTGGCCAGGGCATCCTGCACTATCGCAGTTGTAGAGAGTTCACCGGCTGACATGGACAGATAGACCCCGATCCTCTTCGCATCCCGATATTCCTGGAGAGAGAGGAGTTGGTTCGTAGCGATTCTGGCTGTGGGAGGTCAGCACATGCCGCGACCATATTGGGCAGAAGCGAATCGAGATCCCTGACATTGATTGGCAATAGAGTCGGCGGGGATCTGCTGGAGAGCATCCCGCATCCTCCGGCGAAGGTCCCTCTTCGCGACTTGCAACCCAGCCATCATCTTGGTCCTTGCTTGCACGATGAGAACGCGGTGTACGCAGACCAGCGACCAATGTTTTGTCTACGCGGTCTGCCCAAGATGCTTCACCTAGTTAGTCTTGGTAGCCGAAGCGGGCGTGGCTTGGCAGGCGAACATGTTTTGGCGGATGATTTGCATGGCGGTTTCATTTGTTTGATCGGCAGGGCCAGTGGCACGTACCGGGGGGAGCTTCTTGTGTACTCCACCCTTCAAGGGCCGCCTGCGTTGTTGCGCCTTTCGACGCATTCCTCTCGCTCTCTACCATCTGCCTCTCCCTTTCTTCTGTATTGACTCTCTTTTCGTGGGTATGATCACAACATGATGGCAACGTGCTTCTTATTTGGCCTTCTATTAACTGCTGTTGGGGCCAGCAGCCACAGCGCATCGGATCTAGAAGGAACATGGACAACCAAGTCCCGCCAAGTTGTGACAGGTCCGGTATGTTTTGCGCCGTGTTGATTGTTTACCACTTTCGATGGGCCAGTTCTACCTGTACGCTAACCGTTTAACGTTCGATGTTTACAGGGCTTCTACGATCCGATTAATGATAAATTCCTCGAACCCAATCTCACTGGTATCTCGTACTCATTCAACGCCGATGGACATTATGAAGAAGCCTACTATCGTGCCATTGCCAATCGTTAGTCCCAGAATCCTCAGAACTATGATATCGCGTTTGCATTCCCCCGATTCTGACGTGTCATGATCAATTAATAGCCCAGGATCCTTCCTGTCCAAAGGGGATTATGCAATGGCAGCACGGTACCTATACTGTAAACAGTGATGGATCGGTGGACCTGACTCCGATCGCTGTCGATGGACGCCAGCTCTTATCAGATCCCTGTCAGTCCTCTACGGGGACCTATACCAGATACAACCAAACTGAGCATTTTGAGGTACATGGGTTCTCCCCATTAACTATATAATAGCTACTGACAGGTATAGTCGTTTTCGGTTTCGGTAGACTCATACCATGGTGTCCAACGCCTTGACGTCAAGAACTTCGACGGATCGCCGATGCATCCAATGTATCTTATATACAAGCCGCCCCAGATGTTACCCACGCAGACGCTCAATCCAACCTCCAGCAAGAGGAAACGCCAGGTCGAGGGGGATACTGGAGGTCGCTTCAGCATACAGAACTTGGTTAGCAGGGAGAAAATTGGTGACCCAAATAATTGGCTGTGGCTCGGTATATTCATGACCACACTCGGAGGGATAACTTTACTTCGCTCTTAGATGACCGCGAAACTTGCGCGTTACCACCGAGCAAGTACGATGGACGGCTGGATATGAATGGATATGGAGTTCGGAACATTACTGGGAGGGCAAATAGGGATGGATAAATAAGGTCGGTAATTCTTGGGATGGCATACAACCTGGCGCTGGGAACTTTCGTCTTTCTCTTTTGGCACAGTACGCCTACATGACCTATAGCATGAAGGCACGCGAGTTCTGCTTGTTTTTACTATGCAACTTTATGGCGACCCGAAACCCCGCCTAATGGACAATTTTTGACTTTTATCCGTCGTATGCATTTCATTGAGGGGGGAACCAGGCAATTGGTCTAGGTATGCGTATTATACAGGTAGTTATTATACATTTTCTCGTCAGCCCTTACGCGGAAGAAACCGCTTCTTTGGCAATTCTTGCAACTTCGGATCTCTCGGCGGGCTTGCCATCCAGGGCTCCTCCAGGGGAAAAGAGAGACTTGAGTAGGAATCCAACCTCGACCTTCTTGCCCGTCTCCTTCAACTTGGCAAGTTCCGCAGCAACGATCGTCTTGATATCGTCCACGCTCATGGTCTTCACCTGGGCGCCATATTCTTCCAATATCGCAATGTGACGATCCTCAGTTTCCTTCAAGTCAGGCCGCTTCTCAGACTCGAATTCTTTAGCAGCATCCTTCGAAGCAGAAATGCGCTTGCGGATCAGAGACAAGAGTTGGAGGTCAGTCTGGATGGGCGAGTTGGTTTTGGCGGCGTTGTTGGTTTCGGAGATGAGAGCGCGAAGGACATTCAACCTAATAATTGGGAAGTAATTCGTCAGCATTGACGCGCAAATAGCACCTGGAGTCTCAGGTAAGAATTAGAAGTACCTAGGCGTATCCTTAGCTCGCATGGCAGTCTTGAGATCGGTTCTCAATGCGGTCATCAAAGGCGGCAGAGTCGGACCAGCAGTGGAGTTCCAGCGCACCAGGCGCAGACCCAGACGGGATGTGAGACGCATTGAGGGAAGCATGGTTGAACAAGAGAATAGCAGTAACACTCTTCAATGGCACAATGGATGAATGAATGGGCTTTGCGGTGTTTGTTGCGGGCATGAAATCATGGGCGGAGGAAAAGCAACGCAAAGGCGGAGAGAGCTTGGGCAGGACCTCACCTCCGGGCCCGTGCACAATTTTGTTTCTCTTCCTGCTCGTTTTACGGCTCAGGCCTGTCATTATTCGGTCTGATCAACAACTCGCCCTCAACCACTCCGGCTATTCCCCGCCTCTGTTCATTGATGTTGCTTTCACAAACCTCCCCGTCCTCCGTCTCTTCCCTCCGCCCTCTCGATACCATCGTGAATTGATCGTCCTCTTCGCGCCCTTGCGCCGACCGAATCTTCACCTCGCCGGGGAGCGCGACGAATCGCCAAAGCTTCCCACGGGCTTCTCAACCGGCATCATGTCTTATCCAGACCTCACGCCGACCCTCACCCCTCAAAAGCCCTTACCCGGTGCTTACTTTCAGACTCCTGCACCCACCGTGGCTGCGGCCGCGCCTAGTTTCTCGCCAAAGCCTGTCGCGGCCCCCGCGGAGCAACATGCAGCTTCACCGGTTGCGCTTCCCAGACTCCCCCCAGCCACGTTCAAGCCCAAGACTCAGGCCTTGAGCACAGAGGAACGTGCTGCAGGAACAGTTAACGACACTCTTGTTCAAGAAGCCCGTTATCCTGACTTGGATAGCTATCTCTCCCGTGAGTATGCCCCCGTCCGTCGTGACGAGGGGGATCAGATCTAACACTCTTGTGTAGAAGGTATCTCGTCTGACTACGATATACCCGCCTCACCATCATGGGCTCCCTTTCAGAAAGTGAAGATGTACAACATCCCAGATCAGATCTTCGACCAATACAATCGAGCGCAGGTGTCGACAAGCATGGGACTCTTCGCCGAGTTGAACCACGCCTGGGTTGCCATTGACAATGCACTCTACATCTGGGATTATACGCATCCTAACCCTCAGTTAGTTGGTTTTGAAGACCAACCGAACAGCATCAACACGGTCAAGCTGGCGAAACCCCGAGCTGGTGTGTTCTTGCCTTCAATCACGCACATCCTCGTAGTATCGACAACGGCAGACGTCATTTTGCTTGGTATGGGTTGTGAGACTACGGCTGGAGGCGCGCGGCAAGTCACATTATACCAGACGGGCATGTCAACGTCCATTCGTGGCTTGGATATCCATGTCATCGCCTCCTCGGACTCGACCGGTCGCGTCTTCTTCGGTGGCACTTCGGACAATGACGTTTACGAACTCATCTATCAGCAGGAGGAGAAATGGTTCCAAGGTCGTTGCTCGAAGGTCAATCACACTAGCTCTCGTCTATCTGCATTCACGCCGAGCCTGAGCTTTACGCAAAAGTCATTCGAAAATGTGGAGCAGATGGAAATCGACGACACAAGAAAGCTACTGTACACGCTATCATCTTCCTCCACCATTCGCGTCTTCCACATGAAGCCAGATGGCAGCCTTGCTTTGGTGATCACGAAGCCAGCCCTCGACATCTATGCCAATATCGGACACATTATCGCGTCTAATGAGACCCTTAACCCCAAAGTTCCCATTGTTTCCATCAGTCCCATCCCAGCCGCCGAGGCCTCTAGGTACCATTTGATGGCCACAACTGCAACAGGCTATCGCATTTATCTTAGCGCCACCGGCTCCTTCACCTGGTCTTCTGCACCGAACGGCACCAACGCACCTACAAGTATGCAGGCCCATCATGTCAAGACGCCGCCGTATGACGGTGCTTCCGCTGCTCAACTCCCTCCGAGCCTTCAAAACCAACCGCGTTTCCAAACCACAATCACTGCCAGAGTGCCGATCAACACCCTGCAGCCTACCAGATTCACTGTTCGATACCCTCCCGGTTATTTCCTCTGCTTTACATGTAAGGACTCCACGAACAAGTCGGACACACTCTTCATTTCGGCTCCGGATTCGGGGCGCGTTGCTCGCTCTCAGGAGAGCGTTATTCCTGGAAAGGCTGGTGAAACTGCTGTCTGGCTCTCTTTGGGCAGCAGGGCTGAAGACGTGGGTCTCTGCTCTCCTACTACCCCAGCCACGAGCACTCCTGGAGGATTCGGAAACGAACTGGCCGTGCAGTTTGATAATCCGGCGGCTGAGATCGCCATTCTGACCAACACTGGCATCCACGTTATTCGGCGAAGGCGTCTTGTTGATGTCTTCGCGGCGTTGGTGCGTAGTGGTGGTACCGGCGACGAGGGATTGGAGGGCGAAGTCAAGAACTTCATTCGCACCTATGGCCGGAGCGAAACGCTTGCCACCGCTCTTGCAGTCGCTTGCGGTCAGGGTGTTGAGATCTCCTCTGATTCACGACTAACGCAAATCAATGACCCCGATGTCCTGGAGTTTGCACGCAAGGTCTTCATCGAGTACGGTGGCCGACCGACGATGAATGAGAATGCCGTCGCCGATAGCACCACGCTCGCTATTGACGCAGTCGTTCCGTCCCCGCGTCATGCAGGCATTGCTCTCTACATCTCTAGGCTGTTGCGGTCGATCTGGAAGAAGGAGATTGCGAAGGCTGGCATTGCCCCCAACGGTGCTCAGACGGTCGCATCTTCCGTTTCTGCTTCCAAATTGCAGGCGGTGCAGAGGGATCTTCTGGCTCTGCAAGAGTTCTTCAAATCGAACAAGAGCTTCATCGAAGGATTGAGTGGCCCTGAAGCTTTGACGCGGGTGTCCACAAAGCAGGAGGAAACTGCCCTGCAGGCGGAGCACCGCGCCCTCCATTCTTTGGTCCAGCTTGTATCCCACACGATCGAGGGTATCTCGTTTGTCCTGGTTCTTTTTGACGAGCGAGTGGATGAAATCGTGGCATCTCTGCCGGCCGAATCAAAAGAGCGCTTCCTGAAGCTTACTTTCGAGGAGCTCTTCAGTACCAACAAGGGTCACGACATGGCCAAGGAACTCGTGAAGGGAATCGTCAACCGCAACATTGCCAAGGGTTCTAATGTGGAAACGGTGGCCGACGCTCTCCGACGCCGTTGCGGCAGCTTCTGCAGCGCTGAAGATGTAGTGATCTTCAAGGCCCAGGAGCTTCTGAAGAGAGCTACCGAAGCCGGTTACAACTCGGAACTTGGTCGCAACCTGCTCAATGAAAGCCTTCATTTGTTCCAGCAGGTCTCTGACAACTTGCCCATGGATTACCTGATTTCCGCGGTGGAAAGCTACATTTGCAACCAGTTCTTTGCCGGTATTTCCAACCAGGCCCATTTTACGTTACTTTACTAATGAGGATTTATAGGCGCGATCCAGCTTGCTCTCAATGTTGCTGCTCGCTCAGACAAGGCCAACATGGCACTTTCATGGATCGTCGATGGGCGACCAGAGGAGGTAGGTTTCACTCGATTGTCCTGTTTCTACAATCTAGCAAGTTCTAATTTCTTGTTTCAAAGGATACCCGCAAGGACTATTTCTACTACCGCAAGCAATGTTATGACCTCATCTTCAAGGTCATCCTCGCCGTTGACACCCTCGCCGCTCACGATCCCGGCGTTGTTGATGGACAATTGACGATAATTGCCAAGCGCAAAAATGAGGCATATGGTGTCGTTTCCGACTCGACGGATGAAGTATTCTTGACGAGTTTGTACGATTGGTATCTGGAGCAAGGCTGGAGCGATCGACTGCTGCAAACCAACTCGCCCTTCGTTGTGACCTACCTTGAGCGTAAATCAGCAGACGACCTTGCTCACGCGGATCTGCTTTGGCGGTACTTTGCTCAGTCGCAGCGGTTCTTTGAGGCAGCCAAGGTACAACTGGATCTGGCTCAGAGCGCGTTCACCCTTCCTCTCAGCCGTCGCATTGAGTACTTGGGCCGAGCCAGGGCCAACGCCTCCACATTCACGCCCGACACTAGCCGACAAGCCCGACAGCGACTGGTGCAGGAAACTTCCAACCTTATTGACATTGCGAACATCCAGGACGATCTCCTGCAACGCCTAAAGGACGACAGACGTCTTGCGCCGGAACGCCGGGCGGAAGTTCTCAAGGATGTGGACGGACCCATCAAGGACATTAGCACTGTACGTCATCAGCCCAACCTCCCCCTAGTCATTTACTTTTCTCTTTTCTTCTTGGCTAACATTTTCCTGCAGCTCTTCAACCAATACGCCGACCCTGCAAGCTACTATGACATCTGTCTCCAGATATTTTTCCTGGCCGACCACCGTAACCCAGCCGATATCCGATCGACCTGGCAACACCTCCTTCAAGACCTGCACGATGAGGTCCTTGAACGGGGTGAGCCCATCCCTTACGAGGCTGTAATCGACAAGGTCCGCAGTTTGGGCAGCCGTCTGCGCATGTCCGAGTCTGTGTTCCCGATCCCCATTCTCCTACCCATGCTCGAGCGCTACGCCCTCGAACACCAGCGTGGTGTCGGTCCTGCAACATGGGTCATTGACCTCTTCCTCGATCTTGGCGTCGCCCACGAGACTCTCTACGCCGTCCTCGAATCCATGTACTACACCGATGAAGCTCCCTTCCAAGGTTCCAACAAGAAGTACATTGCCAAGGATCTCCTCTACCTGATTGAGCACTGGTTCCACGACACGGTCCGTCTCGGCGGCGTCGTCTTCGGAAGCGACCTCGTCGCTGAGCGCATCCTCGAAACCCTCCTTCTCCTCCAGCAGGGTGGTATCACTCCGGAACAAGTCCAGCTGGCACAAGAACTGAGGACGAGAATCGACGATATTCTGCGGTGATTTGTCCGTCCCACTGGTTCCCCAATTTCATCGCCTCCCCGCCCCCCTCCTTCACGTATAGCAATGCAACCTAAACTCACTTCGATTATTTATTGTTCTGTTCTGTTCTGTTCTAGTCCTGGGCGCTGGAGTTTCGTGTATTTTCTTTCGTTTTATTTTCTTTATTATTTTCAATTTCTTGCATGCATGCAGCATCCAGAGAGTCATGTCGCGTCCAATCAAGTGAAGAGAAGTGAACTGAACTGAAGTGAAGTGCCAAAATAATCTCATCATATACTATATCATTTCCAAAGCCATCTTTCTGCCTTCCTTTCCTCCCCACTTTCCTGTCCATTTTCTGGGTATGATCAAAGGTGTACTATTAGTACTACAACTGGGTATTAATCAATGTAATCAATGTAAGATGGTGATGCTCATGACGTTTATCTAGCTGCATCTTCATTATGGTGTGGAACAACCGTACTACTACTAGTAGATTATTTACTTACCAAGTTAATATATATACATATATATATATAAATACATAACCGACCTTGGTTCCTCTGCCCATTCCGAGGTACTATTAAGTATCACCACTACTAGTAGCAGTAGTGGTGGTGGTGGTAGTAGTAGTATGACCATTTTCCTAACTTAGATTTCGCCGGTAAATACTATTTAAGTACTCGTAGGAGTACTACTAAGACTGGTGAGTGCTTCTAGTAGGCGTAGATTACTATTGATCGGCGGTTGTTCCTTAGTTTCCTGACTCGAGCCCAATTTCCAATTCCTGGATGCTTCACTGATACCTTATTATGTATTATTTCTGCTAAGCTCAGAGTTAAATAGTGAGTGGCTACTTACTACTACTACTACTACTACTGTGAATTGAAATTGTTCGGTCCCCGCTTCCCGGGTGTTGGTGGATGGTGGGGGTGAGTGTGTTCGACGAGGCTGCATAGGATAATATATATAGTATGGTGTACAGGGTACATCCGAGCAACATTTGACATTCTTGAGTTTTGGTTAAACTACGTATTAACTACACGCTCATTAATCGAAAGATTGTTTTTATTTTGATTATAAATTTATTTTGATATTTTTGACGCGAAAAATAGATAAATAATGACTAAATCTGGTAGATAATAAAAGAAATGAAGTCTATCGGGCTAACAAATTCAAAACAAATAACAGAGAATAAAGAAGAACATTGCTTTCGGACACGAAAATTTTAGATCAAAGAAAACTAATGAAAAGAAAAAAAAAAAATAGAAAGTAAGTTTGGCCCCACTAGTTCTAGAGCATAGAAGCCTAAACAGGGCACAAAATAAGGTCACTAAAAGTGGGAATAAAAAAACCACATTAAACAGTCTAATGAACCAGGCCGAGGTATCAATCAAAATTCAAGCAGCCAAGCAAAAATCCAGGCAGAAAAACGGGAAGAGGACGGATCAAAGAGGAAAGGATGAGAAGGAGGAGGGAGGATCAGGCACATGCGACGCGCCAAGAATCCGAAAGTCTGAGGGGTAGCGGGGAAACATCTTCCGAGCCTGCTGCATGGAACGTTATTGCTGGCAAGGCATCGCGGTGGCGTCCAGCACCCTTGACCTTCCGTGAGAACTAAGAGGTGCTGAGAACAAGGATAGAGCTCCTCGAACAGGTGGCGGAGGCCGTCGGGATTTACTCGAATTGGTCGTATACAGGGATGGGCTTTTCGCCCAATGCGCACAGACGGAAGATGTGACGGAGTTTGGCGCCGTTATCATCATCGAGGTAGTCGACAATGGCGGAATCTATTGCAAATATCCGTCAGTATTGCTTTTGGGTGCTTATCTTTGGTAGGTAACAAGGAACTCACGCGTTGTGCAGCGATTGTCGAAGATTACAATGGTCCGAGGCTGCCACCTCACTCGCGCCTGAAAGTCGTGCCCAGTGATGATATGCTGCATGAGGAAGTCCAGCAACCAGCGCTGCTCGGGCTCCTTCAGACCTTGAATCTTGGTGATGAACTCGCCGTTCACAAAAAGACATTTCTCGCCTGTGACTGGGTGGACGCGCACAAGCGGGTGGACGGTGTCGACGGCTTCTTTGCGTACCAGGCTCCCAGTCATACGTGCATGCTGGATCATTTTTGCCGATGAGTGGGTTGCGCGCAGCGTGTCCAACCAGGACGTGAGAGTTGGAGAAAGACGCCTAATTCATGCATTAGAATCTACCTGCCCGGCGCTGATTCGTCGCGCTTGAGGATGATACTTACTTGTATGCCATATCGGTTGCCGAGAAAACAGTATCACCACCTACTTCAGGTCCCTCCAGCAGCCCAAGCATCACATAGCCCGGGGGCTGGATCTCGTAGCTGACATCCTGGTGCCAGAGTGTCGTAGTAGTGCGCTGCGACAGGAAGCGAGTGATCTCCTCGCGGTTGCCGTCGCGATGGATGATATGGAAACCTGGATGCCCGCGCATTGAGCCAGAGACGGGCTGATAATTGGGCTTGCCAAAGTGACGCATGAAAGCCTCTTGTGCCTCAGGACCATCATCAATGAGGTCCTGGTCCGGGAAAGCTACCACCTTGCGTTCGGCAACCAAAAGGGCAAGCTCATCTTTCTGGGCATCCGAGAGCTGGTTGAGCTGAACGCCTTCCACGATGCTACCAATGCGCGGTTGGATCTCCGTCACTTTTGTGCCGGGTGACAGAAGATTGCGCTTGGACTTATCCTTCACGCGAAGGGCAGGGTCCTGATACTCAAAAGGAGGAAGAGGATCGAACCACACTTTGTCCCACGTGGGAAGGTATTCGGGGTATCTGGTGCGTAGGTGAGACTCCTTGGTGACATCCACGTAAGGGATATTGATGTCGTAGCTGATCGGCTCCTCCTCCTTATGGGCATTGATGGGAAGAGCCTTCTTGGGCCGTAGGACAGGCGCAGAGGACGGCATTATTGCGGATGTGCGTGTTGACTGGTGTGTGCTCTTGTGCGAAGGAACTTATGTACGTAATGTAGTGTTGCTCAAGGCCACAAAGAGGTTAAGCGGGACGTCGACGTCAAGAAAGATGAAAGTGAGCTAGGAGGGAAAAGGAAAAGGACAGAATCCGAGAAATCAAGGTCAATTGAAGTCTCTGGAGATGGATGGGGAAGAGAAGAAAGTTCAGTCGAGGGTGGACGAGAGATGAATATATATCTGATCAGATACAACCTCCACCGGCTCGATATGGCGATAAAGGGATTGCACAAGCAGTAAACACGGCCAAGTGTGGATGATATGGCCGCAGCAGCGCCAATGGCAATGCATCCACCGGAGGTTCGCTTAGAAAGAGTTAGACCAGGGATTATCCCTTTCAATTTTCCGGACCGGGAAAGCTTGGGCTGGTAGATACGCCCGATTACTACTGCTACTACTACTCAAGGCGGGCACAAAAAAAGGTCGTCTCGAATCCATGACGACAGGGGTACAAAGTCGGTGCCGGACGGGTCTCGACAGATGAGAACAGCGGTCATCGTAGGGGGGTGAGGGGGCGGCGGCAAAGGAATGAACCACTCAGGAGCCAGCATGGCACAAGCAGTGTCTAGAAAAGGTGAAGGGGAAGAGAGCATACAGAGTGACGAAGAGGCCAGAAAGGGAAGAGGCAGGCCGTTCGGAACAGGGACCGAGACGAGCAAGAGATGCACGACGGAATTGGGAGAAGCGGTCAAGGTCCAATGAATAATAAAGAATGGGGCATCGGCGCGCCCACTCCAAGAGTATAGCTTCCTTCCCGCATCGGACGACAAAGGGCTTACAGCAGTAGAGAGTTGTCCGGCATGGCAACGACGATTGTCTTCTCGGAGCTAAGCCTGACCGACCGCAGAAGCGATAGCGATTGGACCTGCCGATACTTCGATGGGAAGGCACTGTCTTCTCCCTGGACCCGGCGTGTTCCGGGGGACTGGCTCTCAACTGTAAATTGTTCCATTCGATGTGGTTTTGGTGTGGTTTCACCGCTCTGATCTAGCGAACCCGGATGAACGATAAGCAGCCAGAGGGCCTGCAAAGAAGGCAGAGGTGGAGCCATGCGGCCGGCACGTTGGGCCAATATCATTAAGTTTGAGTCTGTTCCTTCTAGGGTAGACGGCACTAGATCGCGGAATTTGTCCTGTGCAGTAGTGGGAAGGAGTACCATTACTTTCAGCAGCAGCAGCAGCAGCAGCAGCTACGGTAGCTCTGCTATCTTGCATTAGTCCTTGCATCGCTCGACAGAAGGACGATGGTAAAACTCCCGGCTTCGAGGCCGCAGCTGCTTTGTACTACTGTAGCCTGTATGCGCTCTGCCACAGGTAGCCATTGCCAATAATCCAGGAATATTGCAGCCCCTCTGCTAATGTTTGGTTGGTGGAAACCGTTTATCTCATGTCAAGAGGGCGCATGCGTACTCAGTACAACATTGTGAAGGGGGTTAGAGTAATTTGTGTTCCACTGCTGTTTATTCCAAAGAACGAGAAAATGTTATTACTTTTTCTTTTTTTTTTGGTTGTTGAATTGTTTCCTTTTTTTCTTTTTCTTTTCCCTTTAATTATTATTTTTTTTTTTTTTTTCGTTATTTCTTTTTCTCAAAATTTCTTTTTCCACGGTTATATTTTTGTTTGGGATAATGCCTGCTCTCTTTCTCGCAGTATCCTGGTGGTGATCGATCGCGTCAACTCAATCGAACAAGAATAGTGCCGACTTCCTGGCTCCAGTTTATTTTGGGGCCACAATGCCGAGGAGGCACAAAATCGACTCAGCGCATACCCACTGTAGCTTCCCCGAAAATTCGATGTGTTCGCTCTCTCTCTCGGTTTTAGTGACGCCTTTGCGTATCCATGCTGCCTCTTCAGGGAAGCAAACAACACTGGTGTCAAAATTTTCCTTTTCGATAAAAAGGATTAAAATTTTTTTTTTTTTTCTTTTTAGCTCACTTGCGGAAGGAGTGAGCACCCGTGCAAGCCAAAAGGGTCACACATAGACCCGGTTTGGGCTTCCACCCAACGGGCGAAAAACTTGCTCACAGTATCCATCCATCCTTCGCATCAAGTCCAATTTGAACCAGGGTGGAACAGACAGGCCTGGCCGATCTTCTCGCGCGCAGAGCCAACGGAGCCTCTCGCGCGAGTTGTGACGTTGGCTTTCATTTCGGGAATGCGGTTCAATGTCCGTGGACTATCGGGTTTCTCCACCGAGCCACGTTAATGTTCCATAATCGGTAGAGATGGGCCGCGGAAGGTCATCCAGGCTATCTAGAACATTTCCCAGATGGCGTCGAAGGCCCACAGAAGCCTCGAAGGAAGGATGCAGGAGAATTGGTCTGATCATAATGTACGACTGTGTCCGCCCAGTTGTTCAAGCCACATCATGTCCGCGTTTGAGCAACCTTCAAGCTCAGAGCTTCCGAGTCTGGAGGGGTCGAATTGCAATTGAGACCAAGATTTATTTCGTGTCATCCGTGTTTCCGTCGTAGGGCCTGAGTGCTTTGTCTTTCATTGATCATATCTACTACCTATCCAAGTTAGTCTCTTCCTGCTGCCATTCGAGACAGCCTAGGAAGAAGTATGTACTTTGTCGATTGATGCCCGTTGAAGGTGTCACGTCACTGATTCGTTGTCCATGAGCTATCTCTTACGAAATATTATCCCAACTGGTGCATGGGGTACAAGGAATGTCAAAGGATTCCCAAGTTTGGTGCCGGTGGGTACGGTGGATGTGGATAGTCAACTACTGGTTGAGGCTGGCGACTATTCGCAGGGTGTTCTTGCGAGATACAGCAACTAGATAGCACCGGCGGTCAAATTTGGCCCCAAGTTCCGGGGAAAGGGTCGCTGTGACCTCCAAGGTACGTACTTAGTGACTAGTGTCTACCCTGGGAGTCGGGCGACGCATTTCCGGCTGTTGGAGACTAGCCCACTCTGTGCGAAACACTATGCGACAATGGACTGACGGACGGTGGTGCAAAGTGTGGCGCTAAGCGTAAGCTTCCCGTCGTCCGCCCACACAACGATGTTCTAGGAGGACCGAGCCAAATCATGAGATAGGGGACCCAGGTACATTTTGACGTTCGAGGACATTTCCTGGATCAGGTTGCTTTGTCTGCAGAATGCATGCTATTATTGAGAGACATGGTGGGATCAGCGTGCAGGTGGCGGATACCAGCTGCTCAAATCCTTGCAGTACTTTTGTTTTGATGCGTAAAATTGAGTCAAGGCCGATTCCGGGCCAAGAAGGGAGTCCAGAGGCAAAAGATCAGCCCCAAGGGAAGGGGGAGGGGCAGGCGCCACAACTAAGGGATCCTGGGCTCCAGTAGAGGACTTTTGCACCACAGGCTTTGCCGGGAGTCGGAGGCCACAACGAGTAAGCTGAAGGCAGGGTTCAAGAATTGCGGTGAAGACGCCCAGTTTATCGGGCCGCCCTGGAATGAGAGATCACCATGAATCTATGACCGATGGCTTGAAGGCGGAGCTGGACCAGCTACCAGGGTGGACATGGCACTAGGATGTCTCACACAAACGATAAGATCGAAGAAGAATATATCGAGAATACTATTCAACTCCATATGCAAGGCCGATGAGTTCTGCTAAAAAAGCAAGCCACCTGTGGATGGGCGAAAGAATCAAATTCTGTTGTTTTGGCAATATTTCATACTTTTGAGCTGGTTAAACCGTTGGGTCACCACGGCTGGTTGATGGTTGACAGTGGGTTAAACTCACCTTACCCGAGCAGCCATGATTGTTGATTGAGCGATAGCTGGACTGCGATCCACACGGCTAAGCTTAAGCTATGTTTAGGGACTGCCTGAGACGCGTGCAGTTTTGGAAAAAGCAAACATTCTGCCAAAGTAGTGAGTATTAGGTAGGTTCTCGGACTGTCTTTTCCAGCCGATCGGGTCTGGCGAACGGCGGGGATTTTTCTCGATGGTTTCTTTTTCATTCTTTTAATTTTTTTTTTTTTTTTCTCATGGTAGTTGCTTTTTCCGTTTGCTTCGTTTGTGTTTTTTTTACCTCTTCTCGGAGAACCCGTGACGGTCAGCTGACCCGCTTTCTCTCGCTCTTTCCTCTTCTTCTTCTTCTTCTTCTTCGCACATATCAGATCCTTTTCTTCCACATCCCCCAGTTACTAGACTCGACTAGCTTACCACTTAGCTGTCAAACGAAACTTTTCGGCCGGACGAAAGGGACCCGACCTATCTACATCCTACGCCCTACGTTTCTAGATAACCGGGGACACCTTCTCTTTTACGCAATCCCGAAAACCCAGAATGGCTTCTCCGACTGCTCCCGCCTCCTTGTGGAGCCGGAAACGCGACTTGATCTACTTCTCCTTCTTTGCTATTCATGTCCCCATCATTTTTCGTAAGTCGGTCTAAAGTTGCCCCCCTCCCCCCTTCCCACTGATATACACTCGTTTACGTAGTCCCGAAACCCACTAACTCGCTATCAATCAATCAATCTTCCTAGTGGTCGACGCAGCCCCGATCCTCCCCACCGCCCTCCAATCCAACCTTTCCCACACCCTCCGACAGTTCTACATTGATACGTACCATGACAAGTTCTTCGAGGAGCCACCAGCCCCCTGGTTTTACTTTTTCATACTTATGGAGCTGTTCTACCATGTGCCCGTAAGCGTCTGGGCACTTGGCGGCCTGAAGAGAGGTGCGGATCTACACCTACTATCAACCACAACTATACCTACCGTTACATCATAAACGCTCGGTATCTCCCTATCTGGAACTTGGAGCTAACGGGGTGGATACATGACAGATGACCCTCTTGTCCCCCTCCACCTCCTCATTTTTGGTCTTCAGGCCTTCCTTACCTCCACAGTCTGTCTGGTCGAGGTCTGGAGTTGGGCAGATCGCTCCGTAGCCCAAAAGCAGAACATCAGCATGCTATATGGGCCTTATGTCGCTCTTGGTAAGTAGAGATACTGCATGCGCCTGGACATCAGTAAGCTGAGTTGGACGGCTGCTAATTAACTCTGATAGGTGCGTTCATGGCACTGGATATGTTCTTTAGACTTCGGACCAGACTCCTAGTCAAGTCCAAGAAGGAGTAAGTCACTACAGTAATCAGTCCCCATAACCCCAATATTCTCCCTTTCCTATTTCAGTGGAGGGCATGTATGCATACAGTATCCAATGCAGGGGGTGTATGTGCTGGGACCGATAATCCATAGATCACGTAAAAGAAAATGAAAAAATAAAGCAAAGGAATGGCAGATCTAAACTCAGGCGTGCATGCGTCTGCAAAGCTGGAAAGTGCACTGTACACAGTACTTTCCCACAGGTGTACTTTGTAGCAGTAGAGGTGTAGACTGGACGGAAATGTTTCGCAGACCAATAAACTAGACCAGTCATTGGGTTCTAGGCCTAGGAAGTTGCATGGGCCTAGTCATGCAAGGACATCAACCTGCCTTATCGTGCTGGACTTAGTGCCGGGGTGTGTGACTGAGTGAGCTGAAGGCGTAAGGCATACATGCCAACTCGCTAATTTACGTGCGGTGGGCTGAAAACCAAAAGTCTCTTTGGGTCTGTGATCTGTGCTCTGTACATTGTACAGGTAGGAATGCATTCCCACTAGATAGTACTTACTGTGTGAAAAGTGTAAATGTGGCAGCAGGACCCGCTACACCGACCCGATCGCTCTTAATGCTGCAGCTGCATGATATAGGTCGGGATGAAACCCGATGAGAGAAGATGAGGCTTGCGGAATTGGGGGGCAAAGCAGGGATTGTGATTGTTTGCCACAGGGCTGGCTGATAGTATGGAATGATGGCCTCCAAAATATCCTAAATAAGATTTGGGTGGCTGTTGATGGTGTCTATCTTGCTTGCTAGGTATATAGAGTTCCGTGCGGGGACCATGGGAGTGTGTAGGATAGAATGCAATAATAGTTACGTCCGTAGGCTTCATTGTTACAAGGGAAGTGAAATAGAGACATGGGTAGGGAATAGAGAGCCATCGCACAATTTGCGCACAGGTCTCGCTGTTGTTGATGATAGATCATATTACAGCGGTACGAAAGTTCCCGGGACTGCTCACCCGGCACCAAGTTTGCCAAAAGTTGAAGGATTCCAAAGCGGTGACATCACCTGCGTCATATCAGAAATCCAATGGCTCCATCTAGGTCTCCGTTGGCTGCGTCTAAAGCTCGCATGGCTTCTTCTCGCGTAAAGCCTAGTTCGGTGATCTTCGCGATGGAGTCCGCCGGCCAGCGTGACTGCGGCGGGGCTGGGCGGGAAGAGGATGCCGCAGAGGCCATGTTGGGGCCACCAGCTGCTTGGCTGCGGCTGGCCTGATGCGTGACCGCACCTGTCCGGGCGCCGACTTCGGCGCCATCGGCTCCCTTGATCATGGGCTCATCCTCGAATTCCTCCTGGAGGTGCTTGGGAATGTCTGCCTCTCCCAAGAACGGGACCGCTTGGTCTTGAATGATGAGTGCACCTCGTTTGAGGTCAATGCAGGCTTGGTGTCTCCTCAACATGTCCAAGCCTAGGAGTAGATCAATGTGCTTTCCCTCCATAACTGTGAAGGAGCATGGAAGAAACATGCTTCCAATCTTGATTTGTGCTGAATGCACCCGACCGATAATGTTAGCCGTACCAACGCCCTTTGCGATTCCCCCATATCGCTGGTCGACGAGTCGCATGATGTTGCACGCGGTCGCACATTCGGGTGACATAATGGTGACCTGTGCGCCGGAATCAACGAATGCGTTGAGTCTATGGCCATTGACCTCGACAGGGATATACAGCATGGTTACGCGACCAAATGCTGTGCTTTCATGTTAGCAATAAGGTCGACACGGAAAACGTTTCGCCCACTTACACTCTGGGTGGTGTTCCATGGCATTGTGGAGGTTTTCCGTTACCGCGTTTTGACGGATAATCTCCTCGATCTCGCGTTGATTCTCGGGGTTGAACGGATCAGCATTCAGCATGGCAATTCGAGCCTCCTTCTCTGCTGCGGCCTGAGCCTCGCGCTGTTGTTGTCGTTGAAGGACATCACGGAAGCGCTGTGCATCGTTGGCCACCTCCGCCAGTTCCGGATTCTGCCGTCGAACAGCCTCGCGCACTTGCGGATTACCGAGAATATGTAGACGAATCGTCTCGGGATCTGGTGTCATTGCCTGTCGTCGCTGCAGGTTTTGTTGGGCAGCAGCAGAGCTGGGGCCCCCAATACTCCGTGGGGCCCCCTGGGGTCTCCGCAGCGTAACCTGAACACCTATCATGTCACCCTCACCAATGCCAACCTGTTCGAGGGTGCGAGCATCATCGGCGAGGAGTTGATTGTTGTAGAGAATACGTTGGGAGGGAGGAGGGATGGAGGTTTCGCTTTCAACGATGGCTTTGAGGAGCTCGACGGTCATGTCCCCACCGACTTCTAGGGAGAAGATGTCGGCATCGGCCTGATCCGGACGAATCACGCTCACGGTAATGCGCCTGAATATTGTGAAAGTCTTCGGTTAGCTACATATTCACTTGGTCTCTCATTTTTTCCCCAGTGATGTGTTTCTCCACGACATACATGATGCTGTGCAGCTCTAGTGCGGGGAAGCTCTCCCAGACTCGGAGAGGGTCAAATCACGTTGGGGAACCAGCAAATGCAAGCCCTGGCCAGCTCTGGGAGCAAGTCTTCTATCGAGTCTATAGACAGCCAGTAGATCAGGGTCTTTGTTCGGACAGCCTTAGGTGGCCGACGGGGCGAATTATAAATACAGTCACACCAGCGAAGCGATCGACGCGAGAGGGCGAGGGAGGAGGGGGGAAAGTGGCGCTGAGAGGGGGAGGGAAAGGTGAGAGGACCGGGCTTCAGACGAGACAGGAGACGGTCGAAGCGAGACGACAGGGTATCCTGGAGATGGAGGAAGCCAGAAGGCAACGGAGTAGTAGTAGGAGAAAGAGATGCAAGTGTAGGACGAGCAAAGGCGGGAGGAGGTGAGGTTACGGTTCCTGGTGAAGTGCAGCAGCGGGCGGAGCACCTCACAGCGGGCCGCCTGATTCGGTAGGCAGCCAGTCATGCGTCATCCGCCGCGACACTCAATACTATAGTAAACTTCCTGTCACCATCCATCCTGCTTTCTTCCCTTTTACTGCGTTCCCATGGTAAAGGGGGTTCGCACGTTGGCTGTGCTATGTCGGGTTTCTCCCTCCTCTCTTCAATTTTTCCAAAGCACAGCACATTACCTCAAAGACAACCATCGTACAGGTAAAGCTCTTACTTCCTTCAAATGCTTCCAAGCTACGGTCGCGTTCTAGGCCTTTCTGGGCCCCCGACCATCCATCCATCCAGCAAAGATCCGTCAATCCACAACTCGGGTGGTCTCACCAACCCTCAAATCTGTTGAGCAGTAGCATCCCCGCAGTTCGATGATATTTGCTCCACGAAATCACGCAGGATACTGAACTCTCAAGCAGCGCCTTTTACCATTCATAGCACTACGATAAGAATACCACATGCATGTCCTGTGTGCATGCCCACATTCTTCCCCCAGATGCCATACCTGCTTCCCATTGCGGCCTGATGCCACGAGGTGCAGCCACCGGACATCCTCCAACAGTCATGGAACACTCATCACACAAAAGGACTCTTCCACTCCCGAATATATCCGCGCTCCTCTAGCTCGAGACATGATGACCCCCACGGTGCTCGCTAGCTAGTCATTGTCCAGTCATCTAGGTGCCCGCTCCTACTACCACTCTTAGCTCGAAAATAATCCATGCCCGTGATTGCCACCTAGCTGCTTACTGCTGGGGACAATACGAGACTAGTGGCCCCAAGGCTCGAAGTCATTCCGGGATTAGGCCCATGAACTCATCCTTGCGACCCCGGTGACATCAGGCAGACAAGGCCTGCACGCCTGCGAGCTATTGCAGAGAAGCCTCAATGTTCGAACCACTCACTTTAGTTTCTATGCAGTTCATACGTATACTGCATAATGTACTGCAATCGAGCGGCTTTGTTGCGAGGCCATAGATGCCACCAACACAATTTACAACACCTTGCCAAGAGGTATAGTCATGACCGGGACATACGTATCGTTCCGGATGATCCATAGACTAAGTGGTCCACTATATTGCTAGTGAGACGGCCGGGCCTTTCACCCATCAAGACTACAACTTGTGCAATTTAGTGCTTAGCATAGCGGACAGCGCCACAGTTGTAGTGCATAGTTCTGACTGGGTCGAATAGATACTTGGTTCATGCTAATTGGCTGATGCGCTTTCCTGATGTGAGTTTGGGTGTTGTCGAGCTGCTAGGTACAATTACCTGATCGTGCTTCCGAGACCTTGGACATGAAGTTTCAGATTATGGGCATTTGAGCTTAGTTTCATACATTCTAGAGGTAGTGTGTTACATAGCTACGACGGTACTAGTCTCATATGGTTCAGTGCGTAAATCAGCTTGAATACTAACTACTAATTAGGTAAGTAGCGATGTATAGGTACGTATAAGCAGGGTGACCCTGAGATATATCAACACACAAAACCAATGGTGCATAAAAAAGAGTATTACTAGTACCGCCATCATCCGGTCCTCGAAACAAGCTTCTCATCAGCACCGTTCACCTTATCTTGAATTCAATGAGATCTGGAGTTAAACATGATACAGAGAAAGTCGGACGATCGATGCCAAAAGTAATAAATTTTGTCGATCAAGACCCACTGATACTTAGACTGATTACGCATACACAGTATCCTTCGCGGACGAAATATAGTATCCAGGAAAGTAGTATCCGATTATCATGAGCTGATCCAGTTGGACACTTTGTCATCACGAACCTTCAGACGAGGTAATATTGAAGCCTTATTCGTTTATGCTATCATAACCATATATCTAGGTTAACATGATATATCCTCGTCATGGCTAGCTCTTGCCTATGACTGAAGACATTGTTGTGTCCGGCAGTGATGGCACTTGCTGTTATATACAGTCAACAATATCCTCGTTAGTATTCTGGCTTCATTTGAGCTCACGTGCACCATTTAACTAACAGGCGTCGCCTCTTTTCAGAAATGGCCCGATACTGAGGATCTCATGGGTACCAAAGAAGCTTCATAGAATCCATCTAATCTCATCGGTTCTGCATTGAGGTCACCAATGTCCAGTCACAATACGGCTGGGCTGTTCAGCCTCGACACGGCTTATCAAAGATAGCCACTGGGAAGCACCAAGTATCAACCCCTGTCAATTCAGTGCTAAGTGGTTAGTGCTTACAGTTAGCCGCTTATGGTAGATGCTAACTAACCTCCGATAACCCCGCCACCACCCCTCCTCGACTGTCTACAAAGGACTTGTTCTGCTATCAATTACCATCATCACATCTCCAAATCAGCCCACCAATCATCCATAGCTCCCTGCCTTCGGAAGAAGCTGGCGATAACCCAGATAACTTCGCCATGTCCGACTCATCTGAATCCATCTCCCTGCAAGTAACAGTCCATCTTAAACCCGAGGACGTGCCGAAGTTCTGGGCTGCTTTCGAACCCGCCTACAAGGCTGTCACTGCTGAGCCTGAATGTACTTTCTTCGAACTATACCAGTCGCTTGATTCCCCGGGAACTATTTCCTGGGTAGAGAATTGGTCGGTCCTGTTCCATTTCTGGATTCTGGTTGTGGGTTTGCTTGCAATTAGATGTTAACATACCATCTGCATACAGGTCCGCGTCAAAAGAATGGCTTATGGGGGTAAGTTTCAACCTTGTCTAAGCATTGGTGACCAGGAGCTGAACTGACTGGTTCTCAAAAAGGTCCAATTGGTGAAGCCGTATTATCGTGATTACTTCGCTGCAACAGAGCCATTATTCATAAAGCCTAGAGAGGCTAAGTTGTTGAAGAGAGTGGGGACGCCGTTTACGATGATGAAGAAGACGAATGGAGGGTTGGTGGACTGAATTCGAGGTTCAAGCAAGAATGAGAGATAACGCGAAGTGTTCTCGGCACGGAACGAGACATGAAAACATACGTACTCAAGTTATATACGCTTATTCCTAGTTGACCCTGTTCCATAAAATATGGAGCTCGAAAGTAATCGCAGCAGTTGAACGCTAGCTTGTACCTGTAGTCATAGTTCACGGTATAGGACACAAATCTGGTATCACATGGTCCCAAGCCAGGTCACATCGTTCAAAACAGGTACATTGATCTAATCTGGATCTGCTATCAAAACATACAGGTACAGCAATGCTGACAATCATGACTCCGACCAGCCGTACCTTCCTTTTAACGCGACTCAGTCCTTACTCGATACGTCTCGCGCATGACACATCTGCTACCCCCTCACCTTCAACCACCTTGGCCGAAACAATCTCATCCACAGGAATTTCAGCCAGCCGTGAAATGACATGATGCAGCGTTGGCAATGCTTCCCAGCTGAGTGCATCAATCTCAAAACGGGCGTTCTTGGTCGTCCGGAGCCGAGTGATTCTCGACGGAATGTTCTTTTGCTCCTCCTCTTGTGGCACAAGCACGGGGTATTCAGCCTCAGGCTGTCCCTTGTTTGCACGTCCAACTTGCGGCATGTAGCGGTAGATCAAGTCACCCTTACCAATGTTCTGAGGAGGGTTCATGCTGAAGTCTTGGTCCTCCAGGTCTTCTAAGTGGAAGTGACCCCACACAGCGCCTTCCCAGCTAGTCGTGAGATGGTAGGAATTGGTCCGCTCGTGTGCCTCAATGGCAGTGTACAGCTTGGGCATGCCGAGCTCTTCGCGACCACTCACGATCGGATCAGTCAGACTTTCGAAGAGAATGGGCAGGTACAGTCCTTTGACCACTTCGCCGTCCGTCTTCTCATACTGCACGCCCTCGATGTAAAGGCCTAGGTGACGGTAGCCGCCGCCGCCGAGCCAGTCCATCCCGTGAAGTCTCGTTTGCGAGAAGCTGGCATAGGCCACAGTGCTTGGGTCGGTGAAGGAATACCTCTCATTGGGAAGTAGGTTTTGCAGCAGCGTCCGACTGGTTTTGAATCGGATTGACGCCGTCTGGAATGTTGACTTGAGCGACTTCTGGACGCGGTTCCTGCCCCACCAGTCTTGTCTGGGGCCGGGCATGGGGCCGAAGACAATGGGCTGTCGCCAGTATTTGGCCGGGAGTTTGCTCCAGAGGTGCTTACGCAGCACCTGCGTGGAGTGGTCGAATTCGTCATGGCCGTAGATATAGTCGGTCATTGCTTCCACTGTGGAATGTTAGCTATGTAAGATAGACCCATGTGCTGATACTGACTTGTCTCCATTGACTGCGGCTTGGAAGACTCTCGTGTCATCTGCTGCACAGTGCTGGCTCGTGTGTGACGAGCCTTCTCATACAGCTTCAACCGTTCTGGTATCTCCTCGCGGGTCACATCGCGGGACAGCATGACAGCCAGGGAAACACCATCCTCAATGGCCATCGCTCCTCCGGATGCACGATATGGCAAGAATGGATGTACCGCATCTCCGATGACTGCAAGTCGGTCATCGACCCAGGTGGGAAGAGTTTCCATGTCCAACAAAGGCCACACCCTCAAGGTGTAAGGATCAGCCTTGGCTAGCATCTTGATAACCTGGGGATTGAAATCCTTGAAAACTTCAAGAAGCGCCTCCTTGCTAGCTTCTTGGTTCCAATCAGAGGATGTGTTGATGGTGCTCATTGTGTCGGGGTGGATGCAGACAAAGTTCAGCAACTCATTGTTGGCACAAGGGTATATGACCACACGCTTTTCATCAGAATCCCACATGTCCACTGAACTGTACACCTCAGCAAGTGAACGGGTCTCGGGATCTTCCAGGGCATCTTGGCGCTTTATAAGGAAGCGGAATGCGTTCTTGCCAGAGCTGAAAGGTTTAATGTCCTTCGCGAAAGGCAATTTCGATCTTGCAAGGGAGTGGACACCGTCTGCTCCTATAACGACGTCACCCTTGAAAGTTCCTCCGTTTTCAAGAGTCACCGTGGCATTTTTTGGGTCAATATCTACAATCTTGCTCGAAGTGTGCAGCTGAGCTGGTATACCGGGCCCAGGAGCCTGAGAGGCAACTTTCAGAGCTTCGTGCAGATGGGCTCGGTGAACAAGTGTCCATTTCTATCAAGCGTTATGACGATTGAATGCCAAGCAGGAGAAGTCTACTTACGTGTCTCCACTTGTCTGCATGCGCTTTGTTGTCGATTATACCCAGAGGCTCTCCACCAGGAGTGTACATGCGTAACTGGCAAGGTCAGAGATGATCTTTCGGTTAGCGAGCAAGCATGGCAGCGGGTACCTGCTCAGTTTCTACAGCCCCAAATTTGGTGCCGTCGATCCCCAATCTAAGCAACGCAGAGTTTGCATTGGGCGTAATATGAATCGCTGCCCCGATTTCGTTTGCAAAGCGGGAGCGTTCGAACAACTGCGTCCAAGTTTTAGTCTAAACTTATTGTCTTCACCCTAAAGTTCGGATGCAAGAGTAACTGACCTCAACACGGTGGCCTTGTTGCCTTAGAGCGATGGCAGTGGCCAGGCCTCCAATACCAGCACCGGCAATAAGAATGTGAAGGCCTCCTTGGGCTGTGCGTGGGTCAATGCTCCCCATTGTTGCAGATAGGGCAGTGTATCACGTTTGGCTAAAGGTTGCAGACTGGGGACACACCGGGTATTTCGCCACTTAAGAGCGGAGTGTTGCCATGACATACTACACAATTATATCTTTCAAGACAACCCCATGATTTCACTCACCCCCACAAATTGCCAGGATGAGTCATGTGTGTCCACCGTTAATGCCGGACGGATTTTGGGGTCTGGAGTCGTGATCTCAATTCTCGGCTCAACAACTTCGGCTCCACGTTCGGGGGCGGATGCAAGGGAACCGTTGAAATGGCGCAAAACACCGTGAGGGGTAGATAACGACGACCTATTTATCACACCGATTTTGAGTGCATTTGTTACACATTGTTTTTACTTCCTAGCTATTGATCCTCTATTTTTCTTTATTTGGGTGAGGTACAGTAACAACCATCATGCCGAATCCCATCCGCGAAGACATTACTACCCGGGATGATACATCCTTCCCCTACGTCTTCGAGCAGAATGTCACCATTGCTTTGAAGGATAAATCGGGTCTTGTCCGATGCAACGTCTACCGGCCCAAGGAGCTGGAAAAGGCCCCGGTGCTAGTCACTTACGGCCCCTACGGCAAAGATATTCCGTACTCGGACTTCCATCCGAAGTCATACAGCGAAGTCAACCCTGAGCATCACTCTGCCCATTCAGCCTGGGAGACTCCCGACCCTGCCTTCTGGACTAAGCATGGCTATGCTGTTGTTCGGGCGGATGAGCGAGGCACTGGCCAATCTCGCGGAAAGCTGGACACCATGTCCCGTGAAACGAGTGAGGCTTTCTTTGATGTGGTCGAATGGGCAGCCGAACAGCCATGGTCCACTGGTAAAGTAGGACTTCTCGGAATTAGTTACTATGCTGGGAGTCAATGGAGAGTCAGTGCCCGGCAACCCAAGGGCCTGTCGTGTATTATCCCGTGGGAGGGCATGTCCGACTACTACCGTGATCGTTGTCGCCACGGAGGTATCCTTTCGAACGCCTTCATCAAATTCTGGTGGGACCGCCAGGTCGTCTCTAACCAGTACGGTCGGCCTGGTCGTGCTGCCCGTAACTGGGGTCCTGATACCATCGAGGGTGATCTTCCCGAGGAGGAATTGGAAGCGAACCGTCAGGACCAGACAATCGACAACGTCAACAACCGATTCCGCGATGATATATACTATGCTAGTAAGGAGTACACTATGTCCGACATTCAGGTACCTCTTCTGTCCGTGGCCAACTGGGGTGGCATTTTGCTGCACTTGCGGGGTAATGTGGAGGGCTGGACCCAAGCAGGCAGCGAGTTGAAGTATCTGCGCTTCATCACCGGTCGCCATGACCTGCCTTTCTACTATTCGGAAGAAGTGGAAGTCCAGCGCAGCTTCTTAGACGCCTTCCTCAAGGGCGAGGATCGAGAGGGATGGTCCACTGGAACAGCCCCGAAGGTTGATCTGGTTCTCCGCAAAGGAGACGTCGGATTCAACAACGCTGAAGCAGAGAAGCAATTCCCTCGCCGCACTGAAAACGAATGGCCTATCGCCCGCACCCAATATACGCGATACTATCTGACTTCGAAGCAAGAGCTGGTAACCACAGCTCCGCAAGAGCGCCCGGTCAAAATCACTTACCCTGCTCTCGGAAATTTGGAGAACCCGCAGCTGGTGCAGTTCACCACTCCGCCATTTGAGAGCGAAACAGAAATCACCGGACACATTGTCGCGCATCTCAATGTATCCATGAGCCCCCAGCCAGGCTCTCCTACTCCGCAAGATATCGACCTTTTCGTCACATTGCGGTACATCTCTCCCGAGGGCAAGGAGGTGTTCTACACCGGCACAGCTGGAGACCCAGTGCCTCTCTGCAAGGGCTGGCAGCGTGTCAGTCTGCGCAAGACGGACCCTGATCATCCTCGCCACCGTCCCTGGCTCCCTCATCGCAACTACTACTCCACGGACGTGCTCCCGGTCATTCCGGGAGAGGTCTACCCGGTCGATGTGGAGGTGTGGCCGACCAACGTCGTAGTCGAAAAGGGAGGAAAGATTATCCTCGAGGTCGCATCTGGCGATACACAAGGAAGTGGAATATTCCAGCACAATTCTCCTGTAGACCGGTAAGTTGATCCCAAGGTGTAACGAAGACTACGTTGCTGACAGAGACAGATCCCCGGAGCGATTCCACGGGCTCAACCATATCAACTTCGGCCACGGAGATAACTATGTCACTTTGCCGATTATTCCCCCACGGGGCTGGCTGGAGGAACTCCGCAGGAAGTAGATCATAACTTAGATGAGATAATTAGGAATTGAATTTCGTTCTGTAATGCGAGAGCCGAATAACCGGTTGGAACCACCTTCCTAACTCCATCGGGATGTGGTCCCGATGCATCCTCGTCCGTATATTGGTAGTATAGACACAGCATTATATAGCAAACAGCATCCCATCCAAAGCAGTATACCAACCTCAAACCAAACAGTGAACTCTACTTACCTCAATCAATCTTCTACACCACCACAACTACCACCCAATTACCTCCAAACAAACACCGCCAAAATGACCAACACCAAAAACATCCGTCCCCTCTCCCGCTACATAACCACCCACGACCCCACCACCAACAAAGCCATCTTCTCCACCACCCTCTCAGAAACCATGCCGGTGCAACAAATCCAAGACTCCGCCAACGCCCAATTCTCTCTCGCCTACACCACCGACTCCTTCCCCGCAAATCTCACCGACGAGGCCGACATCCCCGCCTACGCCTCCTACCTGACCAACCCGCCCGGGATTACCATCTCCACGGGCTCGGTGTGTCGCATTGTGGATATGCCGCCGCATGCGCTGAGTCCGATGCATCGCACGGTGTCGGTGGATTATGGGGTTGTGTTGGAGGGGGAGGTTGAGTTGGTCTTGGACTCGGGGGAGACGAGGTTGTTGAAGAGGGGGGATGTGGCGATCCAGAGAGGTACGAATCATGCTTGGAGGAATGTTACTCCTGATGGGGAGAATGGGGGGGGGAGCTGGGCGAGGATGTTGTATGTGTTGTTGCCGGCGAAGGGGCTGGGGGAGGGGTTGAAGGAGGATTTGGGTGGGATTCAGGTTAGGGATAGTACTTAGACTTCTTTATTTCTAAGGTTGTGGGGTGGAAGGGGGGTGAGATGGGTGGTGGGTTGGTGGTTGATATAGGGTGTATTTAGAGTGCTGAATGGAATGGAAGGATGTCTATAGTTGTCATGCAGATATATAAGAGGTTGAGATTCTAGATGCATTCCGAGATCTGTGAGCACAATGTTTCTGATAGGATGCTGGTCATTGATACATTATTGCAAAATGAATGCTGAGCTGGTACTAAGTATGTCGTTACTGTTCACGTGGTACATTTGATATAGGGGTAGAAGGTAGTTGCTTTGAAATGTAACTTGATATTCGTAGCATTGAAGGTTGGTATAGCATATAACTAGTACAAAACAGTTGACTCATTTGAATATAATGCAAAAGTGAATAGAAATCAGACATAATACTAGCATACTAATCACCACTCTCCTCCAACTTCATAATGGAAGATCTTATCGTTAATCCTTCCCCCAGTAAAGCGCCAGAGACGCGCAACAGACTGCACATATATCAGAATTATCCAATTTGAAGATTTAGCATAGATACTCACCGCATTCAACCACACCCCATGCAACATGGTTTGGATAAACATATACTCCACGGGACTCGTCCCAGCCGATCGCTCTTCGTAGCTCAAGTTCCGATTCACAGGTCGATATGAAGGGATACGTCTATAGTGCGAAGGCCAGTCCACAGGCTGGGATACAGGGACAGCATCACGAGGAACCCGGGGCTGAGGCTGGGTCTCTGAGCCGGTGTGGTGGATCTCGTAGTCGGAGAGGATAGAAAGCGTGCTGGCGTCAACAGCCCTAGATGTAGTTGTAGTAGTAGTTGTAGTTGTAGACGACATAATGGAGATGATATCTTGAGTGTGTAACAAGCACTTTCACAGACAGTAACAGCAAGTTAGAACAGATGATGTTCCTCTTGACTAGCGGTGGATAGTGCACCGAACTGACCTGCATAACAAAAGGGATGTGCTGTCCATCCCATCCATCCCTTGCTTCCTCCACATCCCGAACGCCCAGACTCAACCCAACGCCTCCCTCCATCTTTCCCCCATATTTCCCCCGCACACTCTTCCACTGTCCGCATGATCGGATCACTAGCTGGGGCCATACTGCCGAGGAATAAGCTGTGTCCACATCGCGTGTTTGACGGTGTGACTTGATTGTCGGCTTAACCCCTGCTACTATATCCATTCAGATTCCAGACCTTGGTGTAACGGAGTGCCACCAAGCACGCTTACTACCAACGCACAATGGTCGCAACACAACCTTTCCAGCGCATTCTCGCTGCTGAGATAGACGGTCGCTGTTTGAATATCAGATACCGTCAGAATCAATTTCATCGTCTACAGTCCAGTCTTGTACAGAATATCGAGCAGATCAAGGATGCGATCGCTGCCGATTCGGGAAATTCGTCGGAAGAGGTTCGCGCCGAAATCTGCCTTGCCTTCAAAGAGATTCGCACACACTATGCTTCACTGGACTTGAAGAAAGACCTGGAGGAGGAGTATCGTGTTGCCAATGGCAAGGATAATTATGATGGGAAGCGTGGAGTCGGGATCGTCTATATTGTTCCTTCTTCGCATACTATGTTTTTCTCTGTTGTCGCGGCGCTGAGTGCTGCCATTGCGGCCGGGAACTGTGTGATTCTTGAGGTGGGCTCAACACCACGAGTTATTTGGCTTAATGCTAATTTTAACAGTTGACGAAAACTACCATGGCTTTACCGGGTGTTCTCAAGAAGATCCTGCCTCAGACCCTGGACGCAGATACATTCGCTATCAGCGAGGAGAGACCAGACGCTGCATTCCTTAACAAAACACACATCATTGCACAAAGTGACTCTATTACTCCTTCTTCCAACAGCCTTTCTTCTCCCACTTCAGCCAGAACCGTCGCCATCGTCGACCGCACAGCCAACATCTCCGCTGCAGCGGATGCGCTGGTGTCCGCGCGATTCGCTTTCGGCGGTCGCTCTACTTACTCTCCTGACATCGTACTCGTACAGGAGTACGCCATGAAGGAGTTCGTGGAAGCCATTATCCAGCGATCGTCAAAGTACCTAGCCGGTCAGAACGGAGATGCGCGTCAGACGGCAGTCAATCCGCGACGATCGAGCTCGGGCGCTTCGTTGCTCGATGCGGCGTATAAAGACGCCAGCGCACGGGTGATAGTATCTGGTTCCGAATGGGGTGTAGTTGAAGTGCACGACCGGTAAGCTCTATACCCCATCCAAGGGAGTAGCATGCTGACAGTTTAGAAAATCATCTCTTCTGCAAAAGAAGGTATCCGAGAAGGTGCTCGTCCTGCATCCGGTGACTAGCCTGGACGATGCTATTGATTTCAGCACATCGTATGTCTTTACCCACTACCCAACCTTTGTCCATTCAGAAAGCTCACCAAAATCTAGCATGGGAACCCTAGCAGCAACATACGCCTTCTCCGCCCCAGCAGCAGCCAAATACCTAACTCAATTCATCGACTCCTACACATCCTATATCAACCACGTTCCCGTCGACATGCTCAGTAAGTGTCCCAATCCCTTACCAGCCCTCTACAGGAATCACTAACAAGAACAGTCGGCCCCGCATACCCCATCAACCAACAGCCCTCGCGCGAAACTCGCTACTCAGTACAATCCCTGCAGGTCCCCCGACCCCAGTTCGTAACGGAGACCAGCAACACCGCTCTGGTTCGAGACATAGTGAGCAGCTATGCATCCAAGTCCAACGACGCATTGCGCGAGGCGTTGGTGCCGCTGCCCGCTATCGGGCAGCGCAGTGGCAAGGCAATTGGGTTCTTTGAGCAGGGTATTATTACTGGTGGGGTTATTACGCTCTTTACGTTTGTGGCGAGTATCTCGACGATGGGGATTTATGGGTATGCGGCTGTGAGGAGGTGGAGGGGGTTATGAGTGGTGTATTTAATTATATTTTTCTTTCTTTTGGAGTGAATTTGGTATGGATGTGAACTTATGTTGTGAGATTGGGGTATACTTTGTATTTGTGAAATAGTACATGGTTGGTATCTTCTGAGTTGGTCTAGAATGAATATGATCCTCCGTCTGTGCAAAGCTTAGACAGCCGAGTAGCTAATAACAAACTCATACCAATACATCTATTATACTGTAATTCAGCTTAGAGTCAAGCAGCCACAAGCTTTTGCTCTGGCCACCTCCCAAACGTAAACTGCAAATTCGCCATATTACACAACTCCCAAGTCTCCGCGCCCAAGACCCCGTGACAGCCCTCATCCTCTGCATCACCCGCCGCTCCCGCCACAAAAGCCGCCGGCACGAAATGATCGTCTGTGCCGTGCGCGTCGCGAAATTGTGGATGCTTCATGAGCCTAGTAACCGCCCGCTGCAGCTGCAGTCCCGAAGTCTTCGTCATCACATCCTCCAGGGATTGCTTGAACTCCAGTGCCCATTCCTCCGGGGGGATCTCCTGGGCTAGGGAATCACGATGTTTGACCATGGGTCCCCATCGATTGCGGTAGAGATTATGGACTGATCCTCCTGTGCCGATGAGGAGGTAGTTCTCCTTTCGGAGTTGGCGCAGTGTCTTTCCTATTTTCAGATGGTAGTGCGGATCGTATCGCGCGTTACTGGATATCACTGTTACCGGAGGGGGATTCCCCCCTGGGAACATCTTTTGGATAATGGTGAACACGTCTACTATCCAGTTGTAGTTGGGGTTGCCGGATACATTGAACCCTTCTGCTTGGAGGAGGTCGATGCATCGTTGTGCGGTGGCCAAGTCAGATGTCATTTGGTAGGTCTTGTAGTCGTTGCTCGGGACGATACCTATGGGGCTGATCTGGGGAGCGGGGTTCGTGGCCACTTCGATGCCGTCTCCTAGTGTTGCCCAGTGGGAGCTCTGATTTGGTCATCATTGGGTGTTAGTTAGTGTCCGTGGGGGGTGGATGTCATTTCCCCAATCTGGGTAGTGTAGAGTGACGGGTGGATCCGCGTGTTTATGGTGTAGGATGGTAGAAGACGCACCAGCATCACAATTCCTCTCACATTGTGTGCTCGTGCTTCATCGCCACATTTGCGCCAGTAGTTGGAGCATTCGGTCGTTTCGTATATCATCATCGGAGAGCCATGGGAGAACAAGTGGACCGGGGTGAGGCCTAGCTAGCGGCGTGAGTGGATCTGCTATAGCTGCTGCCAACTGGGGTCCGGTCGGGGTTTTGCGGACATACCCATTTTGTGCCATCCGGCTTCGGCTTTCATTGTCCTGGTGGGGGTGATGGTACTTCCAACAACGGACTGGTGAGTATTAGGATCTGGACTAGTCTGGGCCTGTTAGTGTTGGTAGCTGGAGGAGATGGATCATCCAGGATGGAGACCCAGGAAGGGGCCTCGGTTAGGGTCCTCCACATCCCGAGCACGCTGTAAGGGTCCAAAGGCAATTGATAAGCCACCTCACTGGTCATCGCGAGGGTCCATCCCTTTCACTTGCCCATCTGGCTGACCGGGAGACGCGTGCTCGTAAAACTCGTCTGCCTATACTAGCTGGTTGATCGCCGGTAGTATTCGGGTTGCATTCTTGCACATCCTGAATGGATCCATATATGAGAAAAGAAACCCTGCACTTCCTCTGCCGCTTAGTCATGGCGCCATCCAGGGCTGTAGCCAACTTTATGGCGCAGTTCAAGCACCAGACTGGCCAGCCCCATCCTCGCCTCTCTGCGAAATACGTAGACACTCTTCAAATTGGTTTAGTTCCCAGGGAAAGATAGCCTGAATAATGAACTAGTCCCTACTATCCCTCTGAATATCCCAATCATGGACCCCGTCCCCCGCATTTTGCCATCCCGAGCTTAACGCTTGGTGACTTCCCCACACTGTCCGTCATTCCAACTCACTTTCAGTCTATTTGACACTATTTCCTCTTCTTCACCTCATCATCCCTTCCATCTCAATCTCTAGTTTCACCAATGTATCGCCTCCATCATGCTCGATAAGTCCTCTCCATCATTCCCCGCGCAATCCCCATCACGACCACTCCCTAAAGCGCGCGATGGATATTTTCAATGTGGGTTCTGCAAAAAACACTACAACCGGGCAGATCATCTAATTCGACACGTCCGGTCGCGTATGTCGCTCTCTTGATGCCCACGTATCTCTTCTTCTCTAACTCTATGTGCAGACACCCGCGAGAAACCATACGTTTGTCATGTGTGTAATAAAGGCTTCGCCAGGCCGTACGTCCGTCCTCATCCGTCTCTGCCATCCTCTCTCTCTGGTTCTGACCGCTCCGCATCAGGGACTTGATGAAGCGACACGCTGCAGGTCATGACCATCCGCGAGATGGCAAGCGCAAACGTCCCCCGTCCTATGCGAAGAGCGGTCGGGTCTCCCAGGCGTGCAAAGCTTGCGCCACATCAAAGCTCAAATGCGACGAGGAAAAGCCTTGTCGGCGTTGTCGGGACAAAAAGCTTATTTGCGACTGGCACGACGCCGGATTCGATGAATTGACCCCGGGGTCACCGATGCAAGGTTGGTTCATCTGGGAAAAGCCGGTATATCCGATAACTGAGCGGTTTAGGGTACGATGACCCTGATGGCCAAAGCCAGTATCCCGAGCCACCTCAACCGCATGCCGCGTTCTCGCCAACAATACCGCCAATGGGCGACTACCCAGCTACCATCGATAATCCTTCATTTACCACCCCTGACTTTGCTGTAAACAACTATTTGCCTGACCCGCCCGACCTTGCTCCCGAAAATCCCCCGTCGACCAACTATGGCGGTAAGTTCCGTCTATATCGTAATCGAAGTGCAGCGTGTGCTAATCGAGCTTCGCCGAAGCAATATCACCCGCGTTGGATCATGAAAGTGGTATCTTTAGTGTCGATGGAACCTTCTTCCCCGAGTTCATTCCCGATGCTCTCATACCATCCTTATCCCGTCCGAACGAATTAGATCCACTGAATGCCATGAACCCTACGCCAGACTACCGCCATAACCTTCTCAATACCAACATGCAGTTTGATTTCGATCTGACTGAAGTCGACTTTGGCCTGATCGACTACTTCAATTCCCAGGGGCTATCACACCTTGCTCCTCAGCCCCCCGATCCACCCAACGATCGGTCTGATGTGGATAGTCGGATCGCGCTTGGTGCTGAGGCCTACAAACGGTCATCACTGTCGGCATGGAAACCTGCACAGCATGACCATGTCTTTGCTGACCAAGATAATCTATCAGTCCCAGTGGTTATGGATAGCCCAGGGTCCAGCATCAGAGGAGAGCGGCAGATCCTACCTGAGAGACTCGCCCCGGGTAGTCGCGATCTCATATTCGGAATGGTCTTGCAGACGAGCGAAAAAGCCATGATTCCACGTATAATAAAGTCATTCCCGAGTACTGAGCTGTTAGATGGTCTTATACAAGACTATTTTGCCTACCAAAGCCAAAAGCTGGATCCATTCATACATGGTCCAACGTTCTACCCCAATGAACAGAGCTCCGGCATGCTAACAGCTCTTGCTGCCTCTGGCGCGGTCCGCTCGGCTATACCCACCATCCGTAAACTGGGCTACGCGTTGATGGAAGTTGCACGCCTAGACATGTCGACTACGGTACATCTGCCTTATAGGTGCTTATTTGACAGATGCTAATGTTGGGCAGTTCGAGTCGGACAACCGCATCACACGCCATCTTCGGCCTTCGCAAACATTCGCAGTTGTCATTGACATTGGTTTATGGAGCGGCAATGGTCGAAGGACGGAAATAGCGGAAAGCTTCCAACAACCACTGGTGACGGTCAGTTCACACCTACACTAGATATGACGTCGCTAACGATGGGGTCAGATGCTTCGACGGGCGTTACGTTTTCGCCGGACTATCTACACAACTATTGTGCCAAGTCCCGAGGACAACGAGGAAGAGCTGGAGAAGAAATGGCACGCTTGGATCGAGCAGGAATCTTTCAGAAGGTGAGACAACTTTTCATTGTCCTAGACTTAAACTGACACGTCCAGACTTGTCCATCATCTATTTTTACATGACGCTCAGTGTGCGATGATGCTGAATGTCAGTCCACTCATATCGTACGCTGAATTAGAGCTTCCGCTCCCATCCATCCGCGCACTATGGGACGCCAAGTCAGCAGCAGCGTGGAGGGATACCTACCTAGACCTTGGATTACTTTCAACCGAGCGACAGCCGTCTCTAGTCGAGGCCATGCGGGACATGTCCCGGTTACAAGGCGCTGTCGATTTGCAGCTGGCCGGTTGCATCCTCCTCCACGGCTTTTCGGCTATGGTGAACGAGTACCACCGGTTTAGCTTCATTTCCAAGGGCAACTCCAAGCATTGGAATGCATTAGTAACCAACTCGCGACACCAAGAGCTAGCACAAGCTTTGCAACACTTTCGCATGATCTGCTACGAATGGCCCAACTTTCCCATTCCCGAAGTCATTCTAATATACGAGATGATCTCAATGTTACTATACATGTCCCTAGAGGACCTCCAGCTATTCGCCGGAAAGGAAGACAAGAGCGAGGCAAGACGAGTCTACCACAGTGCACTCGAATGGATCAGCAGCATCGACTCGCGACGTGCTGTATGGCATGCCGGCCAAGTCATCCGAGCAGCCAAAGCCATTCCGGCGGGGTCCGTGACAGGCTTCCTAGCGGTGGGAGTATACTACGCCAGCTTGGCCTTTTGGTCGTATGGCGTGGTGCTCAAAGCCAAGAACAATAAAATGGGAAGCTCGGAAAACCGCCCATTGGGTCCTCCTTCCACCATCCGCGGCCCAACGATCTACCTCGACGGAGACGAGACCACCGACGTGCAGAAATTCATCTCTCTCGGATGTGGCAGTCCAGCATTGCAGGGTCGACAAGGTCCTGCGTTCGTCTCTGATCCCGGACAGACTATGGACCTCACTCAGGAGCTTCTGCGGGCAGATGCTTCTCAGGATGCGCTTCCCCCGTTGGTTCAGGGGTTGTGCCAATTGATGAATGGTCTGGGTAATGCTGCTAGATCTGGTACTTGAGAAGATTATGTGTAATTATGATGAATATGATGTACGATTGGCGCGGCTTGGTGGTGCGTTCGCTTCCAGTAGTATTCGTGGTCTACACGATCGGATATATCCCAGTATATGACATTTGACATATCCAGGGCCATAATCAGTCCCTACATCAAGCACGAGGCTTGGAATCAACGATCAGAAAGAAGAAAGAGAACTTGGTGATTGACGTTCTACTACAATCTGTTTCTCTAACAAACTGAAACATGAGAGGAACTAATGATCGTCAGAGAGGTCACAAGTTGTTACTAAGTGAAGTCTCATTTCAACTTAACCAGATACTACTTACTTAGTAGTAGTACTATTCTATAGTCGCAAACTATAATATTTAAACATCAGCCATACTACGGTAGTTGGTAGTATACTATATATTTGTTCATACTTCGACACGAATGAATTTTATATACTAATGGGAGACACCGTCTTAACACAGTGTTGGAAAAATTATTGCATGAACTTCGTGTGATAATAAAACTAGATATATTATTAATCAGTCTAGTAGTTAAGCACTACACTGAACGAAGAAGCCATCATGATGGTCTAGTAGTATAGTGGTAGTAGGTAGAGGTTAAACCGAATCGTGCCCGCCCCGCCTGTATACATTGCACACACAAAAAGAAAAGCAAATGCACAAACAAGGAAATTTGTTGAGGGAAAATCAATCACAAGTAGAAAGAGATGGGAGAAAACAAAAAAAGAGAATTCAAACTCCGATAGGGGGAATCGAACCCCCGGCTGCCGTGTGAGAGACGGCGATGTTAGCCACTACACCATATCGGATGTTGTTGAATTCCACATCAATTCTTTGCTTTATAGGTCAATGACTACCTTGGAGGCTAATTGGGTCTCGGTTCTTGTATTAGGATCCGATTTGTATCAAGTTCATATCAAATACTCATAAATTCTAGTGCGATAGGGGGGAAGATCAAAACGGATGTGCATTTTCCCTTTATTTTTTTTGAATGAAAGGTCCCTGCAGGGAGTGCGTCGCGCTAATGCAGTGAACACGTGGGGTGACAAGGATCTTCGCGGGTGTTTCTTTTACCACTTTCCACTAGTAGTGCGTACAAAATAGTCTACTGTTAGTTGCTATGGGAAGATGTGCCATAGGATTATTACTAGCATTTACTGTATGCGATCGTGTCTATGATGTGTGATGTGGATGGTACATTTTATATTTATACCGGGGTCAAAGGTAATTCGCGGCTTGTACCAGGTATATATATACACGACCGGGACTTGGGTGATTGCGACAAATTGTACAGCTACTCGGTTCTTGGACTCAATTAAGCATATTACATATCCTCATTGAAAGCTAACTCATTATTCATCATATTGTACATCAGTCATGGGGTATAAAGCGAAGTATACAAATACATAGGTCAGTGGTCCAGTCATCGTCAGCCTAGCGGAATACGGCACCATTCTCTGGCTTCCGAGCGTAGACAACGGTCACTGGTAGATAGGCATGGGTCTGATAGTCGCGAAGAGACGCGCGCATCTGAGCGAGGAACACCTGAGCTCGCTCGTATGACCATTCCAACGTGGAGGTAAGAAGACGAAGCATAAAACCCTCTACCCCACCGTGCAGTCGAAGCTGGTTCCAGCGGCCCTAGACAGTGTCAGCAGTAGCAACACCTGATAATGGACGATCACTTACAAGTTCATGTAATTTGGGATCTGCGCTCCATCTGTGGCAGTTGTCAGCCAGAGAAACATAAAAACAGAGGAGCAAGACCTACGCGTTCATTGGCCACTGGAACTTGTTCTCCACGACGCCAACGAAACCTGCATTACCCAGGCGTGCAGCGCTCTGTTCCCAGATCTTAAAGGTCTTGCCAAACTGCTCACCCGCACCAATGACGGTTTGTCCCCAGAGTCGGTAGAAATGATGTGGGGGCACTGTCCCATCATCCGCGACCGGTTCGACCGAATGCTCTACCACCTCAATATAGCCTCCAGGTTTGAGGCAACGCCAGCATTGCCGAAAGAACTCGTCCCAATCAGGTATGCAGCCGAACAACTCCCGCACGTGAATGAAATCGAATTGGTTTTCCGCATAGGTCCACGGGAGCGTCACATCGTCAATCTCAAATATGCAGTTCGGAGGGACGAACGCAGGTTGAATCGGAGACAAGTCTACTCCGGTAACTTTGGCACTGGGATATTCATCTGCCATGTCTCTTGAGCCAAAGTCAGTACTCGGTCTATAGTTTGAATCAAACGAAGGAGACGATAGAAACACGCACGTTGCCCATATCCCGGTTCCCGTACCCACATCAAGGATTTCCTGCGATACATTCTTAGACACCTGTCGATCCGCGCTGGCCAACAGTCATGAGGCATACCTGTGGATTCGAAATGGGGGCTAGGTGTAACTTCCCGTCGAGGGTCAGACAATACATATGATGCGCTAGATCTTGCTGTTCATTGGCAATGTCATCGTTGGGGCCCTGTAGGACAATCGTAACCTGTTAGCCCACAGCTGTGGACAACGCTCTCAAAGCCGAACAACCCACCCAGTAGGCTCCATCACGATACGAGTGATAACGGCGGCCATACTCATATCGGTAGTCGGTGATGTAAGTGGACAAGGTGATTGTGTCATCGCCGATCAAGGAGTCTTCGCCGTACGCGGAGTCATCATCCGCGATGTTGTCCTCACCATCGCTCATGCGGTTTGACATGTCGACAGAAGAATAAAGAGAGTGTGGGGTATCTAATTCGGTGCTCAAAGAGATCTCAGTGGTAAGGCTATGCTCCTCGCAGCGGGAAGAGGTCATGGCGGCGATCGGGAGCCGAGATCTGAGGACGGTTGCGGAGATCTCCTCGGTACGGGGCACACGAACGGTTGGGGCAGTACAAGGGGGGGGGGGGGGGGTGATATCCCATGAACCAAATGCAGAAGACCCAGCACCTTTGGAATAGGAGAAGCGGGGTTCAGATTTCGGGGATCAGTGTGGTGGTTGCGATAAGGTGAAGCTGCACAAGGAGGCAGAGAAATTCGACCGGAAAGATCGAGAAGAAAGGGGGAAAGCCATCAGGTACAGCTGAAGAGAGCGGAACCTGAGTTTGAGCGGTCTGCAACGCCCCGAGCTGGAGATGAAGGTTTACTGTTGATTGCAGTGTGGAACGTGTTGAGGGTGAAGCTGTTTGAACGGACAGATGGTACCTGCCCAGTGCGGTTTAGTCGCGTGGATGATCGGCTCTCGGCCGTATCGGAGTGCCTCGGGATGCTCGGGCTCAGGGTCACCTGCCGAGGCGGTGTAATTATTCTACGATGTCATTGGTGGCAGATGCTGGTTTGAGTTTTGCTGCTTGCTCCTTTTCGGACTTGTTCTCTGATTTCTTCCCGATCGGATGCGGTAGAATGCGGGTCACATGGCTTGCAGATGCAGCAACTAGACTGTCTTGGGTTTAGTGTGCGCAGCTGATCCTGCACGAGTGGCTTAGTCACACTGCCGGCATTTTGCTGCAGAATCCGGCAATGCAGCCACTCCATTGGCAGACAACGTGCAAGTCATGACGATCCTCGTCTCCTTTTTGGCTGCTCTGCAGGCCTGCAACTATCTGGCAATGGAGATGGTGCCCCTCCCACCGGCGTCTGCTTGTCCCCGCTTATCAACGCACTAATGCTGCGTTCTCGACGTCACCAACTCGAGTCCGGCTCTCCCTTGACTTCGGTCTTCCCGAACCCACTGTCACTTTTGAAGACTGTTCGACACTCCTCTATAATAATCAATGATATAGTACATAAAGATTATGACTCGTGACAAAATGCATAGTCTACGGATGTGATGATGTCCAATTACCCACAATGTGTGGTCTACCCATCTTGGGTAATAACAGCCGCTTATCAATGGCCCAGACTAGCACACACAATGCGGTAATTTCGGCACTTGTTGCTTAATGCCGTAGTGCATGGTTGTCCGGGACTTGGATTGCCCATGAATCATCTTGCAGTATCAGACGATGTGACTATTTTACGGTAATTATCACTATGCGCGGCACAACTGAAATGTGGTACGGAGTACTTTTCCTGGTTCCACTGGGGTTCGCCTGTGAGATCCGCAGATTGGCAAAGCCTCAGTGGACAAATCACAGGAGTGTCATGAGTCGCGGAGGCCCATCATGACCCTTGCGCGCGTAGAATCTCTGATTCCGTCACGATGGATTTTCTGACATGTTCCACTCGTTCTCTCATCCTTCCAATCCACCGTACATAGTCGGGCCATATTCCTGTCAACCCACGAGCTTCCTTCTTGTACCCACTCAAGGCCTGTAACTTTGCACACTCTAAATAACGTGATGGTTCCCTCCGAGCCGAGACTCACAACCACGGTTCTCGTGGTGGGCGCAGGTAAGGCTTTGGTAGTTGCGTTGGACTTACCCCACGAAGAAGCCATGCACTGAGTATCCAGACACACAGAGCTGATTATAGCTAGGTTCAACTGGCCTGGCTTTGGCTCAGGGGTTGAAAAAGGTACTATAATACGTACTACTGAAATACTCCTGGCTAAACACTCCGTTTTAGGCTGGGATCCCTACTATCGTGGTAGAAAAACATGACAGCTTAGATGCATATGACCGTGACTGGAACATGGGCTTGCACTGGGGTGCAGGCCCCCTGCAAGCTCTCCTACCAAAAGAGCAATGGTCAAGAATCCAGTCAGTTCAAGTCGACCCTAATGAGCCCACAGCAGAAGAGGATGCTCTCAACTTCCTTAATGGACAGTCAGGAGAGGCCATGGCGTCCATACCTGCTCGCCTTTTCTATCGCTTGCGTCGTCGGAAATTACGAGGATTGATGGAACAGGGGCTGGACATCCGATATGGCAAAAAACTCCAGGACATCCAGTATTCTGCTGATGGCGTATATGCCACCGCTATATTTGAAGATGGCTCATCAATCGTAGCGAGGATCATCGTGGGCGCGGATGGAGCTCGCTCGACGACACGGCGTGTATTACTGGGTCCAAGCAGAGGTGATGTCCGCCAGCTTCCTTACTGCGCCACCTTTGTTCAAGCCCAGTACTCTGCAGAGCGTGCTCGATACCTACGCCAATTCCACCCTCTTTACATCGCTGGCATCAACCCTGCGGGGTATTTCTCTTTCTTTGGACTACACGACGCAACAGATCGTGAACGACCAGAAACCTGGACATTCTTCTTCTACATATCATGGCACTCCTCCCTGCAGGAGCAACGGGAGACAGCTGGATGGAGCAACGCGCAAAGGCTTGAGCAAGTCAAGAAATTTGCCAAGACTTACACCGACCCCTGGAAGAGCGCCTTTGAATGGCTGCCGGATGACCAGCAAGTCTGGTACATGGGCCTGAGCGACTTTGACCCGCGGGATCAATCCCATAGGTGGGATAACCGAGGGGGACGGGTGACATTGGCTGGTGATGCAGCACACGCCATGACATATCAGCGCGGCCAGGGATTGAATCATTCCATCACCGATGCAGCCAACTTGGTGGAAGCGGTGCGACGGATTGTCTATGGAAAGGCGACGCAGGCTGACGCTATCAAAGAATATGAAGATGAGATGATACCCCGCGCGGGAAGTGAAGTCGGCCTCTCTACTGTCAACACGGCAATGCTGCATGACTGGCACAAGGTGCTGCAGTCACCAGTGATGACATCCGGCATGAAACGGTCCACCGAGATCAAAGCCAATTGAAGGCATTGATTACCGGCCCTGCTATCTGGTCTATGCACAGCGACTATTTTCCACCGATATCTGACTTAATGATACGCTTATAATATAATGTCAATATACATTCAAGTGTGGCAGATATAGTAACGCTTATGAATCCCACGTCCACTAATAAACCCCTAAGGCTTATTTCACAGACAGCTCAACATGTATACCAAGAGTATCACCCCTTCTACCCCGCAATCGTATATCCGGTCTATCCGGATATTGTCACTCCCATGCCCCAGCCTAGTTGTCTCATTCTGCAGCAACAAGCGCTACGCTAGTCTGCCGTTGCAGGAAGTGCCGTCCCACCCATACGCCCATGCTGATCTCCACCAAAGTAGTCACAAGTGCTGTGGATTTGCTAAGCGACCGCTAGTTATGGGGCCCATGAACTCCACTTTCGGAGCAGAGAAGGCTTTCTCGTCCCTATGCCATGCATCTCTCATTCCAGCAAAAAGTACCATACTATGAGCGTGCCAAAGAACAGGGTTGATCTGAAGATACGAATATTCCTGTGTTCAATTTATCACAAAGTCTTCAGAAGATATCGACATAACGGAATACAAGTTACTAGTGTAGAATCCGATGCATTGCGTTAAGGCAATCACTGTTTACCTGTAGGATTTGAAGCTAGCTCTACATGTTGGGAATGACTCTTTAGACCGTAACTGCTGACCATGTTACCCAAGGGGATTTACTACTACGTACGGCTCTGATGTATAATGTAGTCGTTATTAATGGAGGAGGAAGGACTACCGCGTTATAACTGAGCTCTTCAAGCTGACTTACTATTGTAGGCAGCTTAGTACAAATCCACAAATATACGGGTGTATGTCGCTGTGTGACCATAGTTCTGTTCCTCAGGTTATACTACACCTTCATGACAAAGAAAAATAGAGATGAGAATCTCACAAAAAAACGAATAATAAGAAGCCTAGAGAGAAAGTTGACATTCATCTTGAACGTCTTAAGAGACCGAGAATGAAGGACACGAAGGAGGAATCTCTCCATCAGAATTTCGCAAATCTCCACAGCTCTTACTTCTCAACGCGAGCAAGAGTCTTCAGACACGAAAGATACTTATCCTGATGCAAGGCATCTCCACCTTTCTTATATGCTCTGAGAACCCCAGAATTTCTCTCCTTAATCATATTGACCATGTATTGGATACCATCAGCAGCAAGCTCCTCCAAATATTTGTCACCCGCCTGCTTAGCCTCATCCTGAATCTCATGCAGTCGCTTCAGCCAGAACATGTATCTCCATGGCGAGAACCCTGTAGGCGACCGCCGTCCGAGCTCCGATTCAACGAACGTCTCACCACCCTTGCTGATATGGCTTGGACAGTCGTTCCAATATACCTCAGAGAGCAGAAGCAGGTTGTGGCCTGGTATCTTGAACCAAGCAACAGCAGACGGTAATAGATGAAACACCTCCAGCTGCTTTGTACCTCTGTTGACATCTTCCTCGTCAGACTCTTTCCCCGAGCAAAGCTGCAAGGGACTCTCAAACAGAGAGCGAAAGATCAAAAGAGCAACCTGGCACATCCTATCCTTAGCGACACGCGTAGAGGCAAGTTTAGCCAGGAATGTAGCAAAGTCAAGCCGTTGTGCTCCCGACATAGATGCACTGTTATTGTTCCAGAATTCGGTCATATCGCCAACAAGGAAGGGGAGGTCGTTCCACAATGTACCGTCGACTGTTCGTGCGATATCGATTCCGTTGACACCCCGTGAAGGTCTGGTTAATGGACCCATTCCCTGGATGCGGAGGATGTCGAGGACTAGTCCCTCGTGCTCGGGTGAGTCGGAGGAGATACTTCGCGCCAGCTCGTAATACATGTACCATAGGGAATGAATGTGGCCCTCGAGAGAATCAACGCCATCTCCGATGTCGCAGTATCTGCTGGTCACGACCCAGGTCCGGTTGCTGAAGGCTATGTCGCGGACTTCTTGGTATTCACCACGTGCGACGGCCTGTCGGGTGTCTTCTTGGTCTCTGCGAGCGTGGTCGATTGCTGCGGTAGAAGGGCTGTCTCTGGGTAGAGAGCTCAATAGCGAGTCACGGAGGTGGTCC